ACACAAAATGTTACTGAGAATTTTTTTAGTCTTTTTTTTGGAACTCATTCTTTGACATCTGGTAGATTTTTTTTTTACACTTAGAGCACATTTCAATTTGGACTAGTCACATTTCAAGTGCTCAAAAGACACATGTGGCTAGTAGCTTCCATATAAAATAGCATAGCTTTAGAGAACGAGGAAGGATTAACTAGCAGGGGCGTGGGTGGGGTAGGATTCTCAGTGGGAACAGGATCCAGGAGAGGGAGGGAAGGCTCGAGGCAGAGGAGGGCACATGTGAAGGCCCAAGGAGAAGGCACAGGGTGCACCAGGGGAGCGGGAGGATGGGCAAGTGGGTGGCTTGAGATGGAGTAGAGATGGGGCACAGGACCACACAGACCTACAAACTTGATCCCAAGAGCAATAGAAGCCATGTACCAAAAAGCTGTGAATCAACATGATGACACTGGGGGCTTTTCAGACATCTTTGAGGACGGATGATTAAATATTTCAGTGGGATAGAGAGAAGGTTGGAGGGTTATGAACATCAACCATGATGGAGAAGGTAAATCCACTCTGACTCTTCTCCCAGTTCAGCTGTTTACCCCAAAGGTGAACAAATAAAATGACCAGCCTGAAAATTTCCATGAAAAGCTCCAGGGAGCTTCATGAGGCTGGGCCTTATCCTTTTGTATTGATCCAAAACCGGCATAAGGCTGAACCTAAAGTACTCATCATCATCATCATCATCATCATCATCATCATCACCACTTCTGAGCTTTTTGTATGTTCCAGACACTGCAAAGCCCTCTGTGTACATGAACTCTTCCAAGCTTCTCAACAATTCTACCAGGTAGATATTATGATTGTCTTCATTTTACAAATGAGATTGTAGAGGCTCAGGGAAGGTAAGTGACAAGCACAATGCCACCCAGCCATGGAGTGGCAGTGGAGGGCCTGTCCCAGGTTGTCAGACTCAGAGACTCTGCAGGGCCTGGAGGGAATCTGGTGCCAGGCGCATCCTGAATATTGAGGGGAGAATTGGTTGCCTGTCTCAGCGTATTGCCACTAGGGAGCTTTCAAAGCCCGAGACAGAGGAGCAGGGAGATCTATGTTCTTCCCCTCTTGAACTGAATGAGTGATTTTTTATTATTATTATTATCAGTGCAGCTTTGTTTCAGAGTCCCCAGGAGCCTTGCTGGACCCTGAAGTCTAAGGAATTCTAACTTGTCCTCATCCTTGCTCATGTAAGGGTCTGTACCAACCTTTAGAGAGCCATGTACTATCAGTCAGAGCATTCCTCTGTCCCATGTCAGCCTCAAAAGACCAGCGCAAGCCCAACTCCATTCTCAGCCAGATTCACAAAGGCTAGCCTCCTGGCCTCCCTCCCTCCCCTCCCTCCTTTCCTTCCTTTCCTTTTTTTCTTTCATGGTAATCTTCTTAATCCTCTGTCTTTCGCATTCCATCTTACAGTCCACTCCTGAGAGGCCTGATGCATGAGGTCATTATACAGATGAGACACTGAGGCCAGAGAACACCCAGGACTCCTATCTACCCACACACCTAAGCTCCTTTCTGCCCTCTCATGACTGCCAGATCCCTTCCCAAACCCTGTGCCTTTTGGCATTTGGATCTATCGTGCTGGCTTATGGCACTTTAAGAGCCTTTTCTAATTGGTTTTGCAGTGAGATCCAGCTTCAATTATATGAAAAATCCCTCTTACTAACTCCCTTCCTTGCCTTTTCTAGAATACAACAGCAGGTATGTCTCTTACATGAAGACTTGTTTTTAATGAGTTTATATTCAACTAGCCACAGATATGTTCTGTATGCATGTATGTATCATCTACGTAGATAAAGACATATACCTTTGGATTACTTGAACACAAAATCTAATGTGTTAAAATAGCCATTTGATGTAAATGAATATGATTTCTTTGGAAGCAATGTATGGGCCATTGAGATCACACTGTACAAGGGGTGACCCAAAATAGCCCAGAATTTGTTTATTTAAAAAATTGTGTATCCTTACATTTTTAAACATCAGTCACTTTCAAGATACTCTCCATTTGATGCAATACACTGATTGAGATGCTTTTTACACTGCTCAGAACAGTTTTTGAACTTGTCAATTTTGATGACTTTTAGTGCGTATGACATTTTGTTGTTGCTGTTATTTGTTGTTGTTGTTGTTTGTTTGTTTCATCTCTCCCACATCAGCAAAACGTTTCCCTTGGAGGACTTTTTTCATCTGGGGAAACAAAAACAAGTCACTCGTGGCGAGATTGGATGAACAGGGAGGGGGGGTCACTGGGGTCATGCCCTTTTTGGTCAAAAACTGCTGAACACTCAAGTAGTGTAGGTAGATGGGCTTGTAAATCACCCATCAAGAAATGGGCAAATACATTGAAAGACTCTCCAAAAAAAATTCATTGAAGCCGAACGCAGCCTCTTGCAACAATGCTAGCTGGTACAATGATGCTGATGGGTTCCTAGAACCCTTACCTAACATGGGAAGCCTGTACAAGGGGCCCACCCTCCCAAAGACAATTCCAGCTTTTTTGAAGGTCCCTTCTCATATTTAGAGATCAACATCTCTTTCTCCTTTTCCTTATTCTGTCAAATAGCTCCTCAACTGTCTGCAAAGAATGCAGATCAGAAGTATCTAAGAAATCTCAGGTCTACAGCACGTCTGCCTTTATTTTAAACCATCTTAAGTAGATCCTTATTGTACTACTATTGTATACCCTCCAATATTCTGAAGGCCTTTGTTGCATAAGCAATTTCTTTATTCTGCAGTGGCTTTGCTGACAGTTTCCCATTTACCTTCTACCAATTTTTGCACTCTATTTTGAATTGTAAAACCCCACTGTGGTTTGAGAAAGAGTTGAAGGACGAAATCAGAAACCAAGATTAGCAATTACTATAAACCTGCCAGAAAGTAAGTTGTTGTTGTTTTCTATTTGGGCCAAAGCAAAGACTCAGGGCTTAAGTGTAATCCATGCATCATATAATGAAGCTGATATCCTAGAAATGTGTCTTTATAGTCCACTGAACTCTGTGCCTGAGTTCACCCATTTCATTCTCGCTAACTGAAGGTATTCCTAGGATGATGGCTTTTTTATCTGAATTCAGGGGGAATACTCCAACATTAAGCCTCATTTAGACTGAATGAAAATTCATTTTCTTGCTGCCTTCCTTCCCTGCTCCTTTCCTCAGCTTTAATCGAAAGCAACCGTGTCAGGCCACACGGCAAACCACCTGAGTCTCTACACCCTCACGAGCTCTCTGCCCCAGGGGAGGACCACACATGCTTATCCTGATGATGAAGAAAACAAGGGTGGGCTCTGACGTTTTGGAAAGGAAAGAGGCAGCAGCTGATGAAATACAGAGGGTGCCAGCTTCGAGGACAGGGTTGCTTGAATATGCCTACTCTCACCTCCCAGAAAATCCCTGCTATTCTTAAGTGCTCATTTGTAGTCCCTATCTGTCACTTCTGAAGTGTATTTTCTGAGGAGTCTGCTCTGTTCTGCTCAACAAGAGTGCCCTTCATAGTTCATTTTGACCAAACACCATAACAGTAATGACTAACACCGTAGAAACTATGCCACATGCCAGATATTGACGTAGGCATGTGATTAATAATTCACTTATCCTTCAATTCTTCACAACAAGCCTATGAGATTACTATTATTAGTCCATGTTATAGGTGAGGCCACTGAGGCCCCAAGGGGTGAGACAAACTTGCTCAATGTTACACAGCTAGCTGATAGTGGAGTCACTACAAATTCAGGCAATCTAGCTCCAGATTCAGTGCCCCAAACTACTGGACAACACTGCCCTGCCACAAGGCATGAATTCTTCTTTCTAAAAACATGCAGACATATTTCTACATGATCTTCTTAGCAGCTGGGTATTGCGGTTGCATTTTTATGAGACACATATCCAAGTCTCCCAGCCAGGTAGAGTAGGAGCTAGACAAATATATTTCATCATTCCACAGCTATTTACTGAGCATTTAGTATGTTCTGTGCTCAGTGCTACAGATACAATGATAAGACCGGACATGGTCTCTCTTCTCACGAAGCTCTTGATGGGGGAGGCAGACATTAATCAAATAATTCCACAAATAAGGGCATCATTTCAATATTGGGTGAGGAGGCAGAGCACAAGAAACCAGTGCAGATATCTGATCTAGCTGGGGGTGGGGTGGGGATGCACAGGTAGGTGGCTTTGCTCCCAGAGTAAAGAGTGTTGGAGCTGAGATAGGAATGATGAGGGGACACATCCAGGGGAACCCACATGGACAATGGGGAGGGTGGGGAGCTGGCAGGAAAAAGTATTCCTGACAAAAGAACGAGTAGCAGTGTGTGGTCTCCTTGTAGTGGGAAGCCAGGTAAAATTGTGATATCTGAGCCAGACCAGAGAGGCCAGAATGCCAGGAGCCAGGGGAGGAGGACCAGAGGAGCACCTTAAAATGAGGCAGAAGAGAAAAGAATTTGTGGATCGTGTGATCCTCCAGCAATGTTTTAAATCTCACTGTTCCAACTGCCCACACTATTTGAGTAGGTCCTTAGTAGCAAATTTTGCCTTCCTCATTTCCTGAAGCAGTGGGGGGGAGAAAATCACATTTTAAAACATCTCAGAAACATGGCTTATGTTGCAGACAGACATAATTTCAAATGTCCCTGTGGTTTGCCGTCACGAACACACTCAATCATGGTCCTATTTGCAGAGCTGATAATGCAGGTGAAAACCCTTGTAAACAGCAAAGTGCTTTCCACACGCCCGTGTTATTACCCTTAATAATGGGGCTCATTTTGGATGATGCATGTGCCTCTTGCAGGAGTTAATATATGTAAAGTGTTCAAAACGGTGCCTGGCTCACAGCAAACAACTATAGAAGTGTTAACTATTGTTTTTACTATGTTGCCTCCCTTGTTTTTCTTTCCCCAGCTCGGTTTGGAGAGAATCTGGGCATCACCAAACTGTTTTTTACAACCTGTCCCTCTTTTCTTTCAGGCCAGAACAAAATCTTCTTCATCCCGGGCATGGTAGGACCTATATTAGAGATGACACTTATCCCTGAGACTGAGCTCCGTAAAGCCACCATACCAATCTTCTTTGACATGATGCTATGCGAATATCAAAGAAGTGGGGATTTCAAAAAGGTAAAAAATGAGGCCGGAAACTCAACCAGCATCCTGACCCCCAGCCCATGTCCCCATAATGATAGCCTCGTTCCTTCTGCCTGCACTTCAGTCAGAGGCTCAGCGGTAGGACAGGGGACACATAACCACATGCCCGGAATAAGCCGGATGATCAGATTTGGTCAGTCTTCTATCACACTTTTCTATCCAAGAACAAGATTAAAATGCACTTTCTTGCTGCGCATTTGCTTCATCCTTTCTGAGAGTCTAAGAACCCAACTTCTCTACCTGATGGTTCCCTAAAGTGTGCCCCAAGGGCCTACCCTTCCAAGCCACCCCACTCTGTACCCGCTTTGGGCTAGCATATTGTCTTCTGGGCAAACTTCAAAGAGCTACATTATCTGGAAAAGCCAACTCTTCCAGGAATCATCCTTGGCCATGCATCAGATTTGACAGCAAAGGGAGTTAGGGGTGCATCACTAAGGGGGGACCTGTGTGTGGTCAGAGCCTCTGCAAAATACAAGGATCATCATCTTCATTGAATATTTGGTGAGATTTGAAGCACAAGGACCATTTCCTGGGCCCAGTCCCATTAGAAGCACCCATTTCCACCACAGACTCCTGGCCCTACTCAGGAATTTCACCCAGTTTGGAAAGGTTGGTCTTTAAGTCCTGTTGAGGCTGCCTGAGCAATGCATTCCCTTGGACCTCGCCACGTCTTCTCTGCCTGCCTCCTCACCTAGTTTTACGTCTAAGCAGACTCCTCCCCACTCTTCTCCTCCCAAGTGTTTCTCATTCTGCACCATATCCTGCGACCTAAGAATTTTCCATGAAACAGGTACTTAAAAGGCAATAGATTCCAAACTGCCTTTTTAAAAGATCCTCAGGAATATTTTCCTTCCTTGCTCATGAATTCTCTAATCCCCACCCAGTAGAGTCCAAACCCTCCTGGCAGCATTCAAGGTCCTCCCTGCTCTGACCTTTTGCAGAACTTTTCAGTCCCCCCCTCTTGCTTTCCCCCCACCTCACCTGCAGCTCACCTGGATAGTATTGCCTATCTGTCTTGATGGGTGTCCTCCTTTATGCATATTTTACTTCCTGCTACCTCTCTGCACAGTTGCAACCCTGCCTACCAACACCATCTAAACTCCTACTGATCCTGCAAAGCCCATCCCAAGTGCCATGTCACTTCAGAGGTCTTTGCTCCCCGCTCTATGTCATTTTATCTGTCTAGGACATGACTGTTAATATGCTGTCTTGCTTTATACCATTTCTGTGCATCTTTCATCTTCCTCATCCTCAACTAATAATAATGAAACAATGATGATGATGATGACGACAATGATTGGCTTTAACTTGGTGTTTACTCAGTATCAAGCACTATGACAGCTAATTTGCACATATTAGTTCATGCAGTCTTTTTTATTATGACTCTGTGGAGTAGGTGGCATGATCACCCCCATTTCAAAGATGAAGAAAACTGAGACTTAGAGAACTGAAATCACCTGCCCCAAGTCACACATCAAGCATGTGGCAGAACAGAGGCTGTGACACACAGGTCACTTCAATTCTCAAATCCCTGCTGTAACCACCACTCTCCAGTCCCCAGTATCTCACAGTAATGTGGACAGATACGAGACTGAGTAATGCCCACTATAGTGCTTTCTCAAAATATGTCCCGTGGAGCACTAATCCTACAAGACGCTCCAGGAAAAAGGACTGGGGGTTAAATACCTTTGTAAGTCACTGCATATGGTGACCCTCTTGGAGAGTCTAGTGCACATCCACATAGTCAAGGCACTGAGACCTTCTGCAGCAAACAGACCAACTTTATTTCTCAAATTTATTTGTGCAAGAAACATCTATCGGATCCACCATTCTACCAGTCCTATTTGGGATAAGGTCGTTCTGAAAGGAATAAGAGCCTAGTTTAAGAGCGGTGATGATACTACTTTGAGAAAGTGCTTTCCCTCTCAGGGATGTAGAAGACTCTAGAAAGGCCACTGACCAGCTGCCTCTTTGCAAGGAGCCTAGAAAGAAATCAGACTGAGGAGTCCAGGTGGAAAAAGAGATAATATTGGGGAAGTTAGGATTGGGGCTGCCGGTGGAGGGTGAAAGCCTGGATTGAGTATTTGAAGGCAGTTGGAAATTGGCTGCCTTTTAAGCACCAATTTGGGGGTGGTCTCTGTGCAGCTTGGGACCATGGGATGGGCACCCAACATGATATGAAGGGCACTTACCCTCAGACCCACTTCTGAGACAGCCTGGTGCCTTAGAAGAGTTCCCAGGAACAGGTGTGCAAAGAAATCACCTAAAGTACCTGATGATAGGCAAATGCCCGAAAGAAACAAGACCTGGCTCTTGCCTGGATTGTGACCTGACACATGTGCTTGGCAGGCTCCTGTCCTCAGAGGCTTGACTCTGATGGGATTTTCCTTCCCCAAAGGGTTCCTGTACCAAGGCTTCTCCGAGACAAGCACCCACCTGTTTTCCATGCACGGGGTCACTCCTTGGGCTCCTAACTCCCACAAACGTTCATTTTAAGCATGTTTCCCCATCCCTTCTCCTAGTTGGTCACTCATCAAAAGAGACAGGCCCATTAGACTGACTAACAGGGCAGATGCCCATGTGAAAACCAGCCAGTGTGCTTGGTGGGGCTCAGCTGGGAGATAAGCAGGCGTGAATTTTGGTTCGGGATAAGCAGACTTAGAAGATATCCCCAGGAAAGGGAAAATGACCAGGCCCTGCAGGGCCCCCAACAGCCCTAGTGGCCAGAACCAGAATGAACCCCCAAACTAGGGTCTGGAATTCAGGAGAGCTTATGTGCAAACTGGCGTTAGTGCATAATTCCAGAATAATCAGATAAGAACCAGGTGCCCAGAAGAAGACACAGTTCCCTTTCTAAAATGCATGTTTCTTAGATGAAATAGTAGAACCTCAGCCTCCCGAGTCACTGGTATAAGCACGAGTCACTGCACCTGGCTCTAGGGCTTAAGATTCATAGTGGGTCTCTATAGAATCTGACTTCTGCCAAATTAACTTGTGGATACTCCTTAACAAATAGCCACCTCGCTGGGTTAGGTAAGGAGTCAATGATGTAATAGTAGTTTTGTAGCTGTGAATGAAAATGGAGTTAATTTGCAGTAGCCAGAGATGTATCCTAAGCCCTGCATAGTGATAGTGTTGGGGGAAGGCCTGTTGGTAATGAGATAGAGCATGTATGTGGGACAGGCTACTTGTGTGGGACCTTGGGCCTACCCAAGCTCAAGTTCATGTATCCTTTAAAATGCAAGACAAAGGTCCTATTTTGACTCAAACTTCTCATTTGTAAAATGGGGAGGACGATACCCTTCTCCCTTGGCAGTTGTAAAGATCAAATGAGATTATGATGTGTATGATGATGACAATGACAATATCATGATGATCATTGCTACCAATTACTTAGCACTTACTATGGGCCAAGTGCCATGCTTGACCTTTTAAATATGTTTTCCCTCTAACTTCTTACAGCCCTACTGTGGAAAACAGATGCTGTTTTAGATCTCCATTTAATAGATGGGCAAACGGAGCCTCAGAAAGCTTTATTAACTTGCCCGAGGTCATGCAGCAGGGGAAAATAGTCAAATAAAGACTCTATTCAAGGGCAAGGCCTGTGTCACAGCCCCTCCCGAGCACAGCACGAACCCTGCACTGTGCCTGACTGTGACCTTAACCCTCCAGGCCACCCCAAGGACACAGGCAAGACGTGGCATCATCCAACTCTGCATGCTCTCTGGCACCCTGTAATTTCTCTCCCGGCAAGCTCTTTTGTGACCCTGAGACAAGTGTTTATTTACTCCCTCCACATCTCTGCTTCAAAGAAAAGTTCATCTCACCAGGAGTAATAGTACCAGCATCTCCCAGCGAGCCACTCAGACGAGCAGGAGGGCTGGTGTTCTCCCCAAGAGCCGCTTTCCAGTAACACTCAGCAGTAATAATGATAACACTAGCTGTAGTCACAAGTCAAGCAAGCACAGGGCGCCTGAGATCTCATGCACTTTGCTGATGCTTTGCATGGTAAATCTCTGCTCCTCGTAACCACTCCATGCTGTAGGTACTACTGTTATGCCCATTATATTGATAAGGGGTCGACAAACTCTCGCCTGCAGGCCAAACCAGTCCTGCCACTTGCTTTGTAAATAAAGTTTTATTGGAGTACACCCATGCCAGTTTGTTTATGTGTCATTATAGCTGTTTTAGTGATACAACAGCAGAGTTGAGTAGCTGCAACAGAGACCATCTGGCTTTGCAAAGCCTAAATTATTTATTCTCTGGCCCTTTACAGAAAAGGTTTGCTGGCCCCTAATATAAATAATGAAATGAGAATCAGAAAGATCTACCAGCTTTCCCAGGATAGAGAAGGGATTTAAAGCCAGATAGCCTAATAGGGAGACCTATTTGTGTAGTCCCTCAACTGTATTTTTCCTGCCCTAAGCTGGGCACAGAAGACATCTCTAAGCCTGATAGCCCCAGCCCCCAACAGTGGACAGCTCTTAACATTAACAAATGCTTGACAGGATGCACTATATAAGGGGTATGATTCATTTGCAGACTGGCAACCCAGACTCTCGCCAGATTGGCTGGCATTTAGGTATGGGCTCTTAATTTCCTTCCTTTCTTCATCTGAGACTTTAGACAGGTCACTTAAATCCTCTGAGCCTCCACTTTGTCATCTGCAATAATATCTGATATTTACTGAAGGTTGTACCAAGCAAGGGCTGGCTACTTCTGCGTGCTCCTTCCTCCCTTCCTTCCCCCGTTATTCCTTCCTTCCTTGAAGATGCAGTGCTCTGTCACATACCTCTGTATCTTTGCACATGCTGTGTCCTCTGTTTGGAATGCCTTTTCCCTTTTGACCTTCCTGCAAAATTTCTATTTAACCTTTGGGAACAAGCTCAAATGATAGGGGCTGTGAGATGACTTCCCTGGCTCTCCTTCCTCTCTCTGTTTCTCTCTCTGTTTCTCTCTCTCTGTGTGTGTGTGTGTGTGTGTGTGTGTGTGTGTGTGTGTGTGTGTGTGTTTGTGTCTGTCTCTGTCTGCCTCTCTATCTCTGCCTCTCTGACTGTGTGTGTGTGTCTCTCTCTCTCTCTCTGTCTCTGTCTTTCTCTTTCTCTATCTGTCTGCTTCTCTCTCTCTCCCTCTCCCCGCCCCCCCAGCACTTATCACTTGCTGTTCTCCACTCTCTGGACACACCTAAAACACAGACATAGTATCCTGACCCATTTTGCATTCCTAGATCCCAGCACTGAATCTGGGAGAGAATAGATGCTCCCTAAAGCTTTGGTTGAAACCCTGGATTGATTCATTTCAACATTCAGCCCTCTAATGTTACCATTGCTTTTCATCTCCCCCTTCTTCAGTTTGAAAACGAAATCATCCTGAAGCTGGACCACGAGGTGGAAGGGGGCCGCGGGGATGAGCAGTACATGCAGCTGCTGGAATCCATGTAAGTTCAGCACCTGTGAGCCAGAAGAGACTGCGACAGTCCCCTGAGGCGAGGGGTTCTGGACTCCGGGGGTTTCCGAGTGACTCCATCCTCCCCTGGAAATCAATTCAGAGGCTCGTGGGTATTGGGAACACTCAATTTTTGGAAGAAATCTCACATTTCTCTCTGGAGTGGCCATTTCTTTGGAATTGATGGAATGAACCAGATAAAAAAGAATCTTTGCTTTGCTGGGAAGAAGAAAATAATCTACCAAAATGTCTGCTTTTATTACGCCTTAAGTGTGGAGTAATGGTTGCTCTTTTCCCCTTTTTTCTTTTTAAATTTGTGGCATATATTGATCGTGACCTATGTTTACTGAGCACAAACAGCCACCTAGCAGGACACTGTGTAACGTGCTATGTGATACCTCCTTTAATCACACTGATTCTCTTTGATGCCCATTTCACAGAGGTGAGGCCTGAGGCTCAGGGGAGGAAGCATATTGCCCAGGGAAACTAGGACAAGCTGAGATCCAAGGCTGACTCTGCCTGACTTCAGCCCCCAGGCAGGGGGTGGGCGGTGGACAGTGCATAGTGCCCAAGCCCACTGAATTGGAGTCAGGATATTGTTTGAATGGCTTTATTGAGATGTCATTCACATACTATACAACTTACCCAAAGTATATGATTCATTGACTTTTAAGCTCTCCACAGAGCTGTGCAATCATCACCACAATCCGTTTTATTCCATTTTCATTGTCCCCCAAAAAGAAACCTTGTACTCCTTAGTCACCCCCCAACACATACACGCTCCTCCATCTCCCCAGCCCTAGGCCACCATTACTCTACTTTCTTCTCCGTGAACTTGCCTGTTTTGGACGTTTCATATACTTGGAATCATACGATATATGGCCCTTGTGGCTAACTTCTTTTACATAGCGTAGTTCTTTCAAGGATATAGCATAACGTAGTTCTTTCAAGGTTATAGCATGAATCAGTACTTAATTTCTTTTTATTGCCAAATATTATTGTACTGTATGGATGTACCCCATTTTTTTTATTTTGAAGCAACCAGTTTCTTATATATTCTTTTTTCCTATTTTTTTTTTTTTTTTTTTTTTTTTAGATTCAGCGGGTGCAATGTGTATGCTTGTTGCATAGACATATTGTGTTCTGGTGGGGATTTATTCGCCCGATAGTGAACATTGTAGTGAATAGGTAATTTCTGGACCCTAAGTACCCCCCTGCCTCCCTTCTTATTGGTGTCCCTGGTGTCTATTATTTCCATCTTTGTGGCTATTTAGCTCCTGCTTGTAAGTAAGAACATGCAGTGTTTGTTTTTCTGTTTCTGAGTAAGTTCACGTAGGATGATGATCTCCAGGGCCATCGACTTTGTTGCAAAGGACATGATATCATTCTTTTCTATGATTGCATAGTATTCTGTGGTGTATAATACCACATTTTCATTATCCAATCAATTGTTGGTGGGCACATAGGTTGGCTCTGTTATTTTGCTATTGTAGGTTGGCTCTGTTATTTTGCTATTGTGAATAGCACTGCAGTGAACATACAAGTTCAGATATCTTTTTATTTTATTTTATTTTATTTTTTTATTTTTTTGAGTTGGAGTCTCACTCTGTTGCCCGGACTGGAGTGCAGTGGCCGCTCCCGGCCACCGCAGCCTCAACTTGCTGGGTTCCGGAGATCCTTCTGCCTCAGCCTTCCAAGTAGCTGGAACTACAGGCGCACGCCACCACGCCTGGCTAATTTTTTTTTTGATTTATTGTAGAGATGAGGTCTCACCAAGTTGCCCAGGCGGATCTCGAATCCGCGGGCTTAGGCAATCCACTCACCTCAGCCTCCCAAGGCACGGGATTACAGGCTGAGCCACCGAGCTTGGCTCTAGTATCTGTTTAAAATATTGATTTATTTTCCTTTGGATAGATCCCTAGTAGTGGGATTGCTGTGTCAAATGGTAATTCAATTTTTAGTTCTTTGAGAAATCTCCATATTGTTTTCCACAGAGGATGAACTAGTTTACAATCCCACCAACAGTGGATGAGCGTTCCCTTTTCTCTGAAACTTCACCAACACCTGTTGTTCTTTGACTTTCTAAGAATAGCCATTCTGACTGGTGTGAAGTGATATCTCATTGTGGTTTTAATTTGCATTTCTCTGATGACTAGAGATGTTGAGCATTTTTCATATTTTGTTGGCCACTTTTGTGTCTTCTTTTAAGAAGTGTCTATTCATCTCCTCCTTTGCCCACTTTTTGATGGGGTATTTGTTTTTTCATGTTGAGTTTGAGTTCCTTGTAGATGCTGGTTATTAGCCCTTGGAGGTGTAATTTGCAAATATTTTCTCCCATTCAGTAGGTTTTCTGTTCACTCTGTTGAATTTTGCTGTGCAGAACATCAGTTGAGGGGTGTTTAGACTGTTTTCATGCTTTGACTATTGGGATTGATTCTGCTATGAGAATGCATGCGTGGGTTTTTGTGTGGACGTATGTTTACAGTTCTCTTGGGTGAAGACCTAGAAGTGGATCTGCTGGGCCATGTGGTGCTTCTGTATTTAACCTTTTGAGGACACATCCAGACTATTTTCTAAAGGGATGCACCATATACATTCCCACCAGCAGTGTACGTGGGCTCCAATTTCTCCACATCCTTGCTAACATCTGTTCATATCAATCTTATTGATTCTAGACATCCTAGGGTGAAATTATATTTCCTTGTGGTTTTGAATCGCATTTCTCTGATGACTAATGATCTTCACCGTCTTTCCATGTGCTTATTGGTTATTTGTGTATCTTTGGAGAAAGACATTGGGGTTTGATTCCACCGCTTAGCAGCTGTAGGACTTTGAGCAAATCACACATCTCTGGCCTCAGTGTCCCCCTTTCTAAAATGGGAATAATAAGCTGTTGTGGTTATTCTGAGGACTTGATAATTATGAGGCATCTGGCACACAGCAGGTAAATACTTAATAAATATGCTTTAGTTCCCCGGCCTGACTCCCAGTTTCTGTCTTTGATTGCTTGGTAATTGTCCCTTCCCCCGTGGGGCCATCTCCAAGGCTTAGGAATGGGGCCCAGACTTCCCAAATCCCCCTCCTAACTGTATATGTTCTGATTTGTATGATTCTCTGATATTACTCTGGCTCTAGATTCTTTCCTCAATCCCTTTTGAATATTTTAACTTTAATGACAAAAGCAAATGGAAGGCCTTGCTCTGACCCCCGTAATGACCTTTTGATCCCGCCCAGCCATACAGAGCCCAGCGGGCAGGATGGAGCCCTGGGCAGTGCCATCTCAGCTGGCCCCTGCCCCTTCCTATCACTGTGCATGGCCCTGACTCAACACCTAGAATGCAAATGCTGTTTGGTGGGAGGAGAAACCCACCATCTAACCCTCAGATGGATTTCAAGACTGATTGCCCAGAGGGGAAAAAACATTTGGTCTGAGTCAGTGTTTATCTTAAAGTTCTAAACAGGAAAATCTAAATATTGACCAGAAGTGAAACCCTGTACGATGCTGGCAATTTCCATTTTTTATAAGCGGGTGGGACGCTGCAGCAGTCTTCAGATGATCAGCAGGGTTTTCAAATCCTTCCTGAATGATTATTTATAAAAGGAGTCCTTAGAGGTCGCGGAAATTAAAGACAGCTCATTATTTCTCTCCTGAGATAGAATGTGAATGATTTTCACGAAAAACTAATCAAGCCCAACCCAGGGAATCAGGGCCCCATTTGAAATCCAAGGAATCCCAGTTCCTGTTCCTTTCTTTCACCTTTCTGAGCCTCAGTTTCCCTATCTGCAAATTGGGGATAAAAATATTATCCAGCCCTCAGAGTTTTTGTTGGGATTAAATAAGAAGAATCATGTAAAGTGCTTAGCACAGTTTCTGATACTGAGTAGGTAGACTAGAAATATTAGCTATCACTAGAACAGACTGAGTATCCCTTATCTTATGCTTGGGAGCAGAAGGATTTTGGATTTTTGTCTAATTTTGGAATAACTTGTATTATGGTTACTAGTTGAGCATTACTAATCCAAAAAATCCCAAATCCAAATGTTCCAATGAACACTTCCTCTGAGCATCATGTTTTGGATTTTGAAGCATTTTGGGTTTTCGGATTGGGGTATTCAGCTTGTATTCTTATTTTCCAGGTGGCTAGCAATGTAGTCATTTGAAGCCATGAGCCTACCCATCTTTTTCCTCCAGGCTAGTCATCTCAGTTCCCCCAGCTCCTCATTTGGGGCCTCCATGGACTTAGGGCCCCCACTGAAGCACTCCTGTGAGTGTATGTCTTGGTTATTGGATGGTGTCTTGGCGAATAGAACAGAGCTTCCCTCCCTGTGGCAGCTGCAGCCTTGCATCAGGGAGCAAGGCCAAGGGCATGGAGAGGGACTGAATTTCAGTCCTCATGTGCCCCTGTACAGTGCACGAGCTGTGCAACCTTACACAGTGTCCCAGTTCTCCCTGTTTTCAGAGCTCTCCTTGGAGCACATTGTCATTAAGCTATACATGTCTTAAAGTGTAAGTCTCCCATTAAATGGAATAATGAGATCACCCCTACCTTCCTGTATTCAATATTTCTAGAAGCAGTGACAGAACTAGAAGGCTAAAGGAGCATAAGTTCTGAGACAGAACATGAGTTCTGAGGCCTGGATCCTACCCAAACCAGTTCAGTACCTGGAAGAGGGCCTGACACACTCCATACATAGTTTTAACAGGAATAGATAGAAGTTCATCAGCTCTGAGAGGGTAAGGGCCAGGTCTACCTTTCTTTGACGGCCTCCCATGTTGAATGCAGATGAGTTCCAGGAAGGTGTGCACCTCCTCTGGTCCTCCCCGGGTAGGAGCAGAAACAGAGTGGCAGGGGTCTGCCAACCGCCGCTCCCCACTACACTGAGCATCTTCCCATAATTCTCACAGCTCATCTTCATTGCCACTTATACTCCATCAGAGGAGTTCAAAGGAAGAACAGCTGTGTGACCTTGACAGGTCCAGCATTAGAACCCAACCCCATGGGCCTCGTGCCTCGTTTATAAATTGGGATTATAGTAACGCCTACTTTAAGGAGAGTTTTTATGAGTATTATTCAAGATAACTAATTAAGCATACTTAGCACAGGGTCTGGAACACAAGAAGTACTCGATTAATGGTAGCATCATGATATATTATGGCTAATTTTTATCTCTGTCTCTGTTCCCCCTGCTAGACTGTGATCTTCTGTGTCTTAACAATCTCTGAATCCCTAGTTTCTAGAACAGCGTGCCTTGAGGATGGATGGATGGGTGATTTCTAACCAACTTTTCCACCCTTTTTGCCAATCCTAGACAGTGAGCAGTTTTCATGCTATTTGCTAAAGAATAGAGAAAGTAAGAAAGCCAAGACCTAATCCTTCTAAACCCTGGTTTCTCAAAGTGTGGTTCATGGACCAGCAGCATTTACCTGAGAGCTTGTTAGCAGGGCAGACCTCAGGCTGCAGCCCAGATGTGACGGATCAGAATTTGTTAACACCATACCCATGACGTCCCTGCACATGGGAGTTTGCAGAGCACTGGACAAAATCAATAGTTCTCCACGTTGGCTTCAAGTTGGAATCTCCTGGAGAACATAAAACAAAAAGTACTCCTGCCAACTCAGTGTGGGCATGGGGCTTTGTCAGAGCACCCCTGGTGACTCTGTGTGGCCAGGGTTGAGAATCTCAGGCCCTGAGAACCTCAGACACTGAGAACCTCAGGCACTGAGATGTCTTCTGTCCTGGGAGGCTGTCAGGAATCACACAGCAAACACTGGGAATAAGTTCCACTGCATTGTCATGAGAGAGGGTTGCAGGGCTGGAAGTCACTGTTCCAGAATGAGACAGACACAACTATGGCTGAGACAGACAGGGCCGTTGGCACCTCCCGAGAGCCAGGGAACACGTGCATCTCCCAGGGCAAAGATGGATCTGCCATATCACAGTCACAGTCTGAGCCATCACCTCCTTGCAGCCTGGCTTGGCTTCTGGGAGGAAATGAGCCTCGGAGTCCTTGCTTTTGTCACCTTTACCCTCCTAAGAACTCTTGGGACTTACACTGCCATGGGGAGAGGATCCAGAGACTAATTATGCAGCCCAGGTAGCACTTGTCTACAGCAATGACTGATAACATGCCTGATAACATGCAGCAGGGTTTCTCTGCAAGATACTATCTACCCCAGATTGAGCAATGTTTGACTTGATTCCCAAGGTCTCCACTTAAGCTTACTCCCAGAGTGATCGTGGGAAGAGCCTTTAACCTTTCTCAGCCTTGATTTTTTCATCTGTAAAATGGGAGGAATAATTTTCACTTATCAGAATTACTGTGAGGATTCCTTAAGAAAAGTGATTACTACAGTATCTGGTGCAGAATAAGGAATTAATAAGAAGCCACTACTCAAAAGTTTATACCATCTGTCTCTCCCTACCTAACCTGTGGCTTGCCTGACGGTAGCCAATGGTTCTTTTTATGTTGATATCTTTCTTGCCAGCACACAATCCAAGAATAGTACCTAGCAATTAATAGATGCTTAAGGAATGTGACATGTTTTATTCTTGTTTTAAAAATCTAGAATATGAATATTACAACAAACATAACTTTAAAAAATAATATATACATATTTAAAAAGAAAAAAAAGAAGACTTTCTTCCTCTGTTCTCCTACCTAGTGCCTTGTCAGAACTACCGCTAAAAGTTAGGTATTTATCCTTCCTGGAACACTTATAAACACACAGAGACACATAATGCCCACATGCACTTATGAAGGGGGACCCAAGAAACCCCCAGAATTTATTCATAAAATATTGCATATGCATTCTTACATGTTTAAACGTCAGTCACCTTCAAGGTACTGTCCGTTTGATGCAATACACCTATCAAGATGCTTTTTCCACTGCTCAAAACAGTTTTGAGCTCGTCAATTTTGCTGCCTTTTAGTACTTCTGCCGTTTTTGTTTCACCTCTTCCACATCAGCAATACATTTTCCTTGGAGGACTTTTTTCATCCAAGGAAACAAAAAAAAGTTGCTCAGGGTGAGATGGGGTGAATAGGGAGGGTGGAGCACAGGGGTCATGTTGTTTTTGGTCAAAAACTGCTGAACACTCAGCACAGCGTGGCCAGGTGTGTTGTCATGGAGGAAGAACCAGTCACCTGTTTGCTACCACTCAGGATGTTTCTTCTGCAAATCATGACACAACCTTCTCAAAACTGGTATCCTACTGACAATGGGTCCCTAGAACACTGACCTAGTGGGAAGCCTGCTTACTTACAAGTGGCCCACCCTCCAAAAGATAATTCTGGGTTTTTTGGGGGGGGTGGTCCTCCCTCATACATGCAGTGTTTGGTGGTTGAGACATGGATGCTGGAGCCAAACTATTGATACTACAAACTGTGTGACCTTGGACAAGTTAGGTGACCTCCGTGCCTTAGTTTCCCCATCTTCAAAAGTCCCATCTCATAAGACTATGACAGGAGATTAAATGAGTAAATACTTGTAAGATGCTTAGAACATCTAGGACGTGATAAGCTCAATGTCAGTTGGTAAATAAAAATAATGTTCTGAAAATTTACTTTTCTCATTTAACTATTTCATAGAACTTTTCATGCCCAAACATATTGCTCTCCCTAATATTTGTATCGGCTTTGTAGTATTACATTTGGTGAATATAGCTTAATTTATTTGACCATTTCCCAATTGATGAATATTTAAGATGGAACTATCTATTTCACCATTAGACACAATTTATTAGTATTATAAATATCATTGCACACTTCTGGGAATATTTCTGTAAAACAGATTCCCAGAAATAGAGTTGTTGGGTCACAGGATATATGCATTTATTTATTCTTTATTTCAGTAGCTCTAGGGGGTACAAATAGTTTTTGGTTATGTGGTTGCATTGTGTGGTGGCAAAGAAATCTGGTCTGTGAGTGTACCCACCACTCCCACCTGTGCACATTGTACCAGGATATGCGCATTTAAAAACTTTATAGACATTGTGAAAAATGTTTCCCAGATAAGTTGTGCTGATTTACTCTCAATGTGGGTATGTAAAAGTGACTATTTGCCCATACCACTGCTTACACTTGGAAGTTATCTTATTTTTATTTTTTCCTATTCCTATGCTAATAAAAAGTGAATACTTGCTACATGCTATGGATAAATACACGTATAAAAGAACAAAATAAGCCAAGTCATGAACAAGGGGAACTTGGATTCACTGACTCTTTGCCCCTGCTTCCCCCCGCTCCCCACCCTCCATCCCCTCACCTGCTCTACCACCCCGCACAGTCTTTCCCCCAGCCCTGAGCTCACCACCCTCTCCTTCCATCCCATCCCCTCATGCCCCGCACCCCAGCACAGTCCCCCCCACCCCCAGCCCTGAGCTCACTGCCCTTTCTCCCTGCCCCATCTCCCCCTCCCCTCAACTCCACCCCCAGCTCACCACCCTTTCCTCCCACTCACAGCCTGATGGAGTGTGCTGCCGAGCACCCAACCATCGCCAAGTCAGTAGAGAACTTCGTGAACCTGGTTAAAGGCCTCCTGGAAAAGCTGCTGGATTACCGGGGCGTGATGACAGACGAGAGCAAAGACAACCGCATGAGCTGCACTGTGAACCTGCTGGTGAGGGCTCGCGGGTCCCCCACTGTCCTAGTCAGGCATGAGTCCTAGGGCAGGCTTAGCTTGGGTCTCACGATTCTTTTTGGTAGGGAAGCGGTGCTATGGGCTTTGGAAGTCAGATAAACGTAAGTTGAATCCCTGCTCTGTCATCTAACAACTCTGTGTCCGGAGACCATCAGTTCACCTTTCTGTGCTTCAGTCTCCCCATATATAAATTGGATTAATGAGCATTCCCTTTAGCACTTAACCACGTCACATAGAAGGAAGATGACCGTATAGCCTGGTTAAGAGGTGGAGCTTTGGAGTTGCACAGCCCATGAGTTTCTCATAATGAGCAGGATAAACAACTCAAGCGAACGCTCTCCATTCTTAGTTTGCTTATCTGCTACATGGGAAAAAAAAATAGTTCCTATTTCGGTAGGTTGTGTAATCCTGGCCCATGGTTAAATGCTCAGCATGCGTTAGTTTCCTTCTCCTTATAGAATGGAGTAACATGAATAACTGGAATTACTACTGCTATGGGCCAGGTTAACCAGAGCAGCTTATCCTAAGCTCATGTTCTTAATCACTGTATTCCACTAGCTCCCATGTCCTGGCTCCCAAAACAGCCTCTCGTGTGCTCTGTGTTCAGTCAAGAGACAGATGGCAGCAACCAGAATGCTTCCTGCCCACCTGCCAGCCCACCTGAAAATGCTTTAAAAGAGTCAAGTTGACCCACAGGCCATGTGGCATCAATCATATCAACCCCTTGTCATTCCCAAGGCTCCAGAAATATAAGTCCTATCTCCATAGTTCTGTCGTTTGGCCTCATCTAGCCCTAACTGAACTCTTTTTAACAGCTTAGATATTGCCATTGATTTTCCAGAATGCTAAGGGGAGTTTAAAAATCCTGATTATAGCAGAAAGGAATTCATTGCTAATAACTCCACAAGGCCCAATTTACATAAAGAACAGGAAGAGGGCTTTTCCCAGAGTTTAGCAGCTTCTCTCTAAGGAAAGATAGAGTTGGTTGAAGAAACTGACCTTGGACCGTCAGACTAGCATCAGAGAGGAAACTGGGACAGACAGTTCCCCAAGCTGACAGCGTCTGCTAGTTTTTGGTGTGTGACTGAAACGTGATGTCAGGGAAGAGGGCAGGATGGTGGGAAGGAGGTCATGTCAGGAGAGCTGATGTGGAATATGATTTGCCGCCTACTGACTATGGGCCCTGGAACATGTCACTTTCCCTCTCTGAACCCCAGATACAGGTGGGTGCACTAGATTAAAAGAGGGTCTGCTCCTGGCATGGCTCTGAATCTGTAAGGACTTGTTTTAAAATGCCACAGGATTGGGATCTTTGAGAGTAAAATCCAGGGAAACTACTAGTCTAAACATCCCTGAGCTGAAGTTGGGACCCGGCTTCCTAGGTATTGCCAAGTTTATTTATTTATTTCTGTTTGTTTGTTTTTGTTTTTCAGAGACATAGTCTTGCTCTGTTGCCTAGGCTGGAGGGCAGTGGTGCAATCACAGCTCACTGCTGTCTTGAACTCTGGGCTCAAGTGATCCTCCCACCTCAGCCTCCCGAGTAACTGGGATTACAGGCATGATGCATGCTCAGATAATTTTTTAATTTATTTTTTGTAGAGACAGGGTCTGGCTATGTTGTCCAGGCTGGTCTCAAACTCGTGGGCTCAAGTACAACTCCTTCTTCAGCCTCCTAAGTTACTGGGACTACAGGCATGCACCACCATGCCAGCTAATTTTTAAATTTATTTTTTGTAGAAATGGGGTCTGGCTATGTTGTTCAGTCTGGTCTCAAACTCTTGGGCTCAAGCGATCCTTCCGCCTTGGCCTTCCAAATCACTCCTGGGATTACAGGCACAGCCACCATGCCTGGCTGGTGTCGCCAAATTTAAATGTTTTGACGTGGAATCCCATTATAACTCCTGCTAGCTTTGCCCTATCAGGAATTATGATCTAGTAACTAGGATGCTGTTACTCACTTTCCATCTCAGGTGCTTCCAGGTACGAGGCCTGAGCTTTGAAACATCAAGCTAGGCTGCCTTTCAATGTGTGCTTGGTCAAAGTTTACTGCCACCATCTTGACAGCCCACCTCTCAATGCAGCAGTTAACTGGACTTCAGCAACTGATACACAAGGCCAAGACACTTCCTCTGTCCTTTGTCGTCTAAGGCTTAGGAAGTGACTTTCAGGACAGAATTTTCCAATTAGGCTGTTTGATGCATCCAGAAAGAACATTTCTTTCTTCCATCTCAGGGTGCCCAGAGAATAAACAGCAATCTTCTCACCTTCATCACCACACCCTTGACCTGTGTGGCTTTGCAAAGAAAAACACTCATCACTGTTTTTCTTCCTCTTCCTAGAATTTCTACAAAGATAACAACAGGGAGGAGATGTACATAAGGTAAGATTTTTATTTTCTAAAACCCAGACCTGCTGTGTCACCCCCCACCCAATCCCCCAATATCCATCGATGGTTCCCTGCTACCTTCAGGATAAAATTTAAATTTCTCAGCCAGGTTCAGTGGCTCAGCCTGTAATCCCACGCCTTTGGGAGGCTGAGGTGAGTGGACCCACCTGGGCAACTTGGCGGGACCTCATCTCTACAATAAATCAAAATGAGCTGGGCGTGGTAGCGTGCACCTGTAGTTCCAGCTACTTGGAAGGCTGAGGTGGAAGGATCGCTGGAGCCCAGCAGTTTGAGGCTGCGGTGGCCAGGAACAGCCACTGCACTCCAGTCTGGGTGACAGAGTGAGACTCTAACTAAAAAAAAAAAAAAAAATTTACATTTCTCTTCTTGACACTTGGGCCCTCTGTGTTCTGATTCCTGTGAATTCTCCCAGACCCAACTCCTTTCATAAATCTATAATCAGCCCCATAAGTCTACTTAGAATTCTCTGACCTGCCATACTATCCTGCTGTAACCAAGATCATACTTTTCTTAAGAGTAAATATCTTGCAGGTTGAGCTGGTGGCTGTCATTGGCATTTGTTGCAGGGCTGGCTTATGACACCCTAGTACAGGCATGTAGGCGGACTGTGGGCTCGCCTTGTTTTGAAGGGGAAAAAATACCAAGATGCATGATGCCTGCTTCCTTGCAGACATTTAAAAGATATTTATTTGAATATATCATGAAGGGTTTTTTTAGAACATTAGCCTGGAGCAAAGAACTCCTTTGCCAAATTTTCTCAGAATCTCATATTTTTTTCTGCAAAGTTTTTTTTATTATTATTTTTACTCATTGCAAAAAATGTGTACTTATTACCAAAAAAGTCATAAAATGCAGACAAGCAACACAAAAAGTGAAACATATTTTCATAATTCCTATATATTTCCAGACCTTTTCATATATATATATTTAATTCTATGCATGCATATTTTTCAAAAATGGAATTATATCACTCATAATTTATTCTTTGCTTTTTTTATTTGACAAGAATTTCGTGTCAATATCAGTTTTAATGAAACTATAAAATATCTTTTCCAGAATATACCATAATTTATATAGCCAAGCCTATGTTGTTGAACATTTAGGTTGTTTTCAACTCTTTTCTATAATAAATAGCACAATGACAAAATTCTTGGATATATACCTGTGCACAAATCCTTATGAGGCTAAGGCTCCTGAAACAGAATCAACCAGAAGGTTAAGGAGCAAGGCATTTATAAGGCTTTTGGCATATTCTGTCAAAGGGTAGAGACTTCAAGTCTAAACTCATTCTGCTATTACTGAATATATTTTTAGGTGTGTAGCTTAGCATTATTCCAGAAATAGGAATTATCATTTGGAAAAAAACAAACAAACAATCCCATACTTTGTCTTGAGCTTTGGGTATTTACAGCATCATTAGACATGCCTAATTTTAGCAGTGTAATGCTTTGGGGTCTAGACGACCTAGGGTCTTCACCCCATTTCTCTGTGACCCTAGATACATTACTCAGTCTCTCTGGGTTGAGGTTTCACTCTCTGTAGACTCTCTTCAGCCTACCTTCTGTTTTGAGGATTAAATGAGATATTATGGGCAGCGTGACTGGCACATGGTTCCCTCCCTCCATCCTCTTTTAATTCTTCCCATTTTAGAAACACAGATGGCAAATCCCAGACCTCCGCAAGCTTTGGAGTTTGGAAGCCTGTAGTAATCTAGGAAAACCATATTTGCCTAAACCAGACGGCAAACAGAGGATATAGTCTGAAAATCTGTTCTCGTTGGCAGGCAGAGTATTTCAAAACATCTTTTAATTGGTTGCCAAAACTTAAAAATCTGGGGACTTTACATATAAATCAAAATGTCTTCTTCTGAAAACCTCAGATGGTGTGACAACACTGGGCTCTCATCCTGTTCTGACAATCATCACCTGAGCTGGCTGGTGGCAGCTGGAGCTCTGTAGTCGTGACACCACCTCTGTTCCTGATTGTACTTCAACCATCCACCTCCCGCTAGCTTCTGGCACCTGGAAGGGTTTGCATTTGGTGTCCCTGGCTGAGCTCATTCTGGTGTCTTCTGTTGGGCTCCATAGTAGATCACCACACCCTCGAGTTAAAAAAGAAGAGGAGGGGGTGCCTTGGCCCATGAAAAAGTTGAAAGTAGCAGGGGACCAGGTGCGGTGGCTCACGCCTATAATCCCACTTTGGGAGACCAAGGCAGGATGACTGCTTGAGCCCAGGAGTTTGAGACCAGCCTGGGCAACATAGCAAGACCTTGTTTCTAAAATAATAATAATAATCATAAAAGTAAGAACATAGCAGGGAAGATCTCCCCTGGGCTGCTGTTTTTGGGACTCAGCCATCTAGGGTTCTAGGAAAGAAGGATGGGCAGGAGGTAAGGCAGGATTAAGCCACATGTGTACGCAAGGGTGTTGCTAAACTCCAGACTCTCCACATGGAGGCCGTGTGCAACCTCACTGTTGACTCTGATCAGCAGAACATTAGAGAGAGGAGAGTGGAAAGGCCAGGCCTGTGGAAGCAGAACTAACTGGGCTGAAAGTCTACTTCTACCTATTTCTGGTTCTGTCTACCTTAACTCCGATCTCTGTTTTCTCATCTTAAAAGCATTGTTGGAAGGATGAGTTCACAAAATACATGGTATAATAACAAAGCACCCATTGGTTGAATGAATGAATGAATGAATGAGTCCTTCTGCTTGGGATGCTCCCCCTACTCATCCCCTTCCCCTTCCTAGCTCAACTGTCATGCTGTGGAAACCTTTCTCGAAATCCTTCCTTTCCCCACCTGAATAAATTCTGCTCTGCTAGTACCCTGGTCCTCTCCTTCACAATATGTAACACAGCTGTGGTTTTGCAGTGCTTTATTTGATGATTTGATTCACATCTGTCTCTTCTTCTAGACTCTAAATTCCAAACCCTGAGAATGGTGTCTGTTTTTGCCACCCTTTATTTATCTCTAAGTCCTGGTACAGCCTGGATGCCCAGTACAGCTTTGCTGAATGAACAAGTGAATCAGCAAACAGTTACTAGGATGTCCTGGACACTTAGACGTCCAGGTACCAAATAACCACGAGATGACCTTTCTTCCCTTCTGACTCATTGACAGTCCCTTCCCTGAGTTCAGGCAGCCAGGGACACCAAACACTAGCTCCTCCTTTGGTAAAACCTTTCTTCTTACAGGAACCAAGGTCTGGGCATTGAGACTGGCATTGAGTGCACGTGTCTGAGAAGTCCTGTATTCCCTGGGGAGACAGTGAGTCAGGGTGGAATGCCGGCACCGTGGAGGACAATGCCTCCCCTCTCAGAGAAAGAGTCAGCATCTTCCCTTCACCACATTACCAAGAGCTGGGTTTAAGTAAAATACTCCTAATGAAATGCAAGTCGCCAAAGCAGCGGTTCACTGACTCTGGATTCTGTTTCCCACAGTGGCAAGAGTGAGTGTTTTGCAGAAGAATCTAGTTCACAATGATAATAGGCAACAGCTGTCGTTGCTCAGTGCCAGCCACAGTTAATCACTTTCAGCACACACTCATGTTTCTTAGTAGCAGCACTAGCTGTTACTCACTAGGCTTTTTGTATGTTGCCCATAGTCTGCTTGGCCCTTTATATGTCAAGTAACTTTATAGGCAAGTTTTGTGAAGGTTGCCATTTTACAGATGGGCAAACTAAGGCACAGAGAAGTTAATTCACTGCCCCTTATTACCTATTATGGATCAGTTATCTAAGAATTTACCAAAGCACCATTTCTTTGTTCCTGTTCCAGTCCTCAATACCCCTCAACTCTATCATCATCAAGGATTCATAAGTAGAGTGTCACTTTGCACAGGAACAGGAAGTTAGAATGTGATTGTAGTTGAACAGCTGATCTTCCTACTGACACACAGCTCAAGGCCTCCATAGGAACAACCATCCTACAGCCCCCTCATCTATTTCCTTTTATTACCAGAAACTATACTTTCTTTACACCCAGAGAATGCTGAACAGAGGACAGGGGCTGCCTCTGCAGTTATTGTGGCTTGTTTATCCTTCTAGAGTTACACAGCAATGAAGAATGGAGCCACAGTCCAGCACTTCCATCTTTGAGCACATGACTTCCAATACATTGTCTCTCCTTCCTTTGTTTCTCTTACTTGTCATATTGTGTTGGCTGGACTCTTCAGTATCAAGGTGCATACTGGCTGGATGGCAGGCACCTCACTTTTCCAGGTCATGGTTTTCCCACCTGAAAATGGAAATCCCCCATGGACGCATCCCACAGGGTTGTCGTGAGGATTCAATAATCCAAGGCATTTAAAATACTCAGCATAGGACCCAGCATGCACTAAGTGCCCAACACTGGCTACCACCATCACCGTGCAGAGGGCTGGATGTCTAGGGTGGAGGACTTCCTTGTGACCTGGAGAGGTGCCCGGTCATTCTCTCTGGCCTCAACCATGCCTACCAGATGCCTCCTTATCACCAAATGCTCAGCACATTTCTTCCCAAACAGATACCTGTATAAACTTCGTGACCTTCACTTGGACTGTGACAATTACACAGAGGCCGCGTACACCCTGCTGCTGCACACCTGGCTCCTCAAGGTACTATCCCTCTGGTTGAAAGGGATTCATACCAGGATCCTCACATTGCCCTCAAGAAGTTGAAGAGTTAACAAAAAAAGAAGAAGAAGGGCAACAGAATAAGCCAAATAAATTTTGTTTTTCTCTGTGTCCCCAAACTCTTGACATGGCAGGATACTTTCCTACCTTACCGGATCACAATCACTTTTGGGAAACCTTTACATTTAGCAACAAGAGTGACCCCACCCCCAGGATATGTTGTGCAGTTTTATAAAATATCCAGACTCTTATCAACTATAAATCATTAGCATGTCCACTAAGCTGTGTTCTTTCTGTTGAAAACTTTGCTGAAGCTAGACAAAATTAAAATGATTTCTTTTGGCTCTTGAAGAACTAGGAGCATATCTCAGAGGGTTTGTAAATACCTACAAACCACACATGGGGAACCAGCGGAGAGTCAAATACAAGAAGTCCCCCACATATGAACCTTCAAGTTAAGAACTTGAATAGTGTGCACTTGTGTTTCTCTATGTGCTATTTCTCTACACTAGGTGTTGGCACAGCCTGTTAAATATATACAGTACTATATAGCTGATTGTGTTAGTTGGGTACCTAGGCTAACTTTGTTGGACTTAAAACAAATTGGACTTACAAACACACTCTTGGACTGGAACTCGTTAGTATGTTGGGGACTTCCTGTAGGTGCAACTCAACCAAAATCAAGAGACACCTCACAGGTGAAAATTTCAGACCAGCATCTCCCTGACAGACCACCAGTACCTAGGGTGGCGGGGAAGCCAGTGGAGGGTGTTTGCAGGGTTTCATCTCCCTCTTGGTCAGTAAGGTTCTGATATCTTAGGTTTCCTTGTTTGTCTGTTTTGGTACATCAGTGCTTCCTGAAGGGCAATCCTCTAAAGTCCCGGATACTCATGCCCTAAAGGGGCAATCTCCCTAGTGGTACCCCAAGTTTCCAGAATCTGCTGAATTATGGAGAGGTGGAGAGAATGAAAGGACAGGGCCTGGGGAGGGCAGTTTCAACCTTTCATCCTGGGAGTACACGAACCCTCAGCAGCCGCTGGTCCTGTTTGACCTCCTGTGTCCTCTCTTGGCAGTGGTCCGATGAGCAGTGCACGTTGCAGGTAATGCAGACGGGCCCACAGCACCCCCAGACCCATCGGCAGCTGAAGGAGGCACTCTATGAGACCATCATAGGCTACTTTGACAAAGGAAAGGTAATTTGTCCCTGCCCCTTCACTCTGTGTGGAGACCCCGGCCACTGGAAGGACAGTTTTCTTTTATACCCTGCATCCAATCCATCCTTAACTCTGGCCAGCTGTCCCTCCACATCCTCAATCTGCTCATGTCCCTCCATCTCCATTCCTTCCATCTCCATTTAAGGCATCATTGGGCCTCAGAAACCGATACCCCAAGATATGGCATTTTGGTATGCTGAACTGAAGAAGTCACGGGTCCCTCTGACTCCCCTTTCTCCCCTGCCCCCACTAACTATCCCCAAAGAAGCTGGTTCCCCTCCCTTTATCTGACTGTCTATTGCAGGAAAGGAGAGGAAGAATGTAACCACACCCAGCCCAACCATTTTACAAAATAATGCCTGACTCTCAGGTTCATCCAACTTCTCAAGAGCATTTACAAATCCAGCTCTGATCCCCCATCCATTCATTCTCCCAAGTGTCTCTTCATTTTCCCCTAGTCATTTTTTCCTGATCAGCAGTAATCATTTGTTGGCCCACAACAGCATTCCTCTTCTCCCCGTCCCATAACCTGTTTTGCTGGGATCCAAGCCCCATTCTTTCTGTAACTTCAAGATGGTATTTAAGCTTCTATAATTCATTGGGAAGTCAGGTCTTCATTCTGAAGACTCCTGTGTATACACATGAAATAAATTTGTATGCCTTTCCTTCCGTTGATAATCTGTATACAGCCAGTGATCTTTCAGTGAACCTTTAGTGGGCAATGGCCATGGCCCCCACAGCCAACATGGCTCCTGTGCCTCTGTGATGGACCCTAAGCAGTTTCCCTGCTTCCTTGACTGTCTCTGACAAATCTTCCTCCATAGAGGAAACAGGGCAATTATAAAACCCAGATGGGGTCATGCCATCCCCCTGCTTAGAATCATCTCAATGGTTCCCATATTCTACATAGAGTAAATTACACAATCTTTCTTATGGCCCGTAAGGCCTCACATGAGCTATGCCCTCACTATCTCTCGCGTTCCATCCCTGCCAGGGTCCCTCTTGCTCACGTGCAATATGCCAAGCTCTTTTCAACCTCAGGGCCTTTGCACCTGCTTTTCTCAGTTTGAAGCGTTCCTCATCCATAGCTTTTCATAGGACAGCTGGGCTTTTCTCACTGCTGGGTCTTCACTTGGATGTCACATCCTAAGGCGACTTTCCCTGACCGCCACCCGACAAAGCAGCACCACCCTGCCCCGAGCACTGTCATTATGAGACATCATCTTTTAAATGTATTATTACTTGTTTATTGTCTGGCTTTCCACTTTAGAATGCCATGAGGGCTAAGACTTGTCTAGTCCACTAGTCCACTGCTGAATGCACATTGACTAGAACAGAGCCTGGCTCTCAGGGCCCAATGAATGGATAACTGCATGGTGGTGCATCATTGACCTTTAGACAGCAAGGAAACTTGGTTGGGTTTGGTCAGGAGATAGGCCAGACTGGCTGCTGCCCAGCCCCAGCCTCCGATAGAACTTCAGGAAGCACGAACCCAAATGATGCCATTCATCTGACAGGAAGTACGGCCTGGTGGCCACAGGCTCAGGCCTGGGTTTCAGTCCTTGTCCTTCTTCTGTCTACATGTCCTTTGACCTCAGAGACCCCCTTTCCCCACCTATAACAGTGAAATGCAAATAATTCCTCTTTCTAGTTGTACTGTGAAATTATAGGAGAAAACGTACGCAGAGCACTGGCATAGAGCCTGGCACTTAGTAAGGCCTTGTTAAATATTTTTGTTTGTTTGTTTTTTAGATTGAAAAATGTAGTTTATTTAGAAAGGAAATTAGAAAGAGATTGAGAGAAAGAGAGAGGATATTCACCTCCCCAAGGTAGGGAGGGAGGCCAAAGCTAGGAAACGTGGTGGCCATAGCACAGAGTTTAACGAAGCAATGGCCAGACCTTGTTAAATGTTAATGAGTATCATGGTCACCTGACTCCACCACTTACCCCATCAGTCCTTTCTTGAGACCCCCAGCCAGCTTACCTACAGCCCTGCCTGTCCTCTGAATTGCAGGGCTCTGTACAGCTCATCAGGACATAATTTCACACCTGATTTTGTTCTGTCCTGTCACAGCAATTCATTACATCCATCTTAGTCTGATCTCTCCACCTCCCTGAAAGGATAAAATGAGGTAATGTCTGTAGAAGGACTGATAACTTCCCCAGAGTCTAGTAGTTGGAGAACAGTGCTTTTATAATTTACAATTCTAAGCCTCTTGAGGGCAGAGACTCTGCCGGCTTGTGAACCTGCTGCCTTGCTGGGCATTGTCAGAGTTTACTATTTTATTTTTTTTATTTTTTTGAGTCGGTGTCTCACTCTGTCACCTAGGCTGGAGTGCAGTGGCATGATCACAGCTCACTGCAGCCTCAACCTCCTGAGCTCAGGTGATCCTTTCACCTCAGCCTCCCAAGTAGCCGGGACTACAGGTGCATGCTACCATACCTGGCTAATTTTTAAATCTTTTTTGTAGAGATGAGGTCTCATTGTGTTGCACAGGCTGGTCTCGAACTCCTGGGCTCAAGGAATTCTCCCACCTCAGCCAGAGTGCTGGAATGACAAGTGTGAATTTCTGCGCCTGGTCCTATTTCTTTATCAGCTGTCTGGTTTGGTCACAGTGTGAACCCCAAAAGCAAATGTTGGGCTTTGTCCTCAGCAAGGTATTCAGTTCAACCCACTCTGCTGAGCAGAGAGGAACAAGTTGTAATCCCTAACTTCAAGGAGCTCCCCATCTAGTTGACGAAACAGACGTGCCAATAATGGTCTTCTCTGAATGTTGTCCTTTGGAGTTGTGCAATAATGGGAGAAAAGGCAAGAGGACAGGGAAGTGACAGAGTACTTTAGGAGAAAAGAGGAGGGAACAGATGAGTATGGCTCACCCTGAAAGCCACTACTGTGGAGGTTTCTAAAATGAAACCCCAAATCCTCAGCACCCTCTTCAGCTTTCCTTCCCCACACTTCCTCAGAGAAACTCATTGCTCCAGACACCTAAGATGGCTTTCCATTCCATGAATTCATCTTGTCGCACCTGATGGACTCCTCTGCATCCCTCAAAACCCAGCTCTCTCATCTATTGATACATATGTTTTACTCATTTAGGTTCCATAAGTGCAGAGAATGTTCTTATTCATCTTTATATCTGCTCCATCACTGCACACCACACCATGTCTAGAACCCAGCAGGTACTCAATAATGAATGTAGAGACTCAGAGAGAGCAGTGATTGTCAAGGATCTGGAAGGAAATCCCCTGCATATGACTTCCTGTCTCGCCCTTTCCCTGGCCTCTTAGTGCTCTTAACATATGGCAGGGCATTTCTTCTCCCTGTGCATAATATGGTGAGAAGCAGGCAATGCTCTCTATTTGAACCTGACAGTCTCCCTGGGCTAGCCCAAAGGACACCTATAACCTTCTAGATCAGGGCAAAGAGCAAGCCCAGTCCAGCCCAGCCATAGACTTGGTTCCTCTACACATAAAGCATCTTTATGCTACTTGCTAAGCTGTCTGTGGGTTTACAGCCACAGCTTCTCTGCTCAGCACTTGGTTTTATTTATTTTTATGCTTGGATGCAGAGAGAGCACTTTTGTTACAAAGCTCATTCTGCATTCTGGCAGCCTTACCCCTCTCCTCCTCCTGCCTCCCCCAGCTTCTTCATTTTCCAATTTAAACTGAAGGTGAAATGTGACGGGTCTCCCCCAAGACTGCTAGACCTCAGTCAGCCCTGCACCTCCCCCTGCTTCTCTGCAGGGGTTCCTGGCCCCCTTCGGTCTAAGACAGTGTGGGGAATCTGTGAGCATCTGGCCTAAGACAGAGAAGTATCCCCTATGTCCAGGGTTTGTTTTTTCAGATATTTTTCTTTTGAGATGGAGAAGACCTACCATAAAAAGTCTTCATTATTTGTTAATCCTTTTGTAACCCCCACATTCATCTCTATGCTACGCCCTGCCCCAAAACTCCTACCCACCAGATAACCCCATTCTGAAGTGACAGAATTGGCAGAGTGGAAGAATTCCAGACCTGGACATCAGGAGAACTGAGGTCTAGCCCCATCTTGATCCCTTGAAATTCTGACCTTGGGTCCATGGTCACTTCACTGTGAACCATTTCTCCTTAGAAAATGTGTCCAGCACCTCAGTAGGGAAGCTGAGGGAATCAGAGGTTTTATTCATTAACACATAGGAGGCAGAAAGTGGGAGGTAGGCCACGGAGACGCACACACTTGGGTCTGCATCCTGTCGCTGTTTTCTTTCGGGCATTTGACCCAGGGCAGCTGGCATTTGACACAGGGCTGGGTCTCTCTGAACCTCCATTTCTCACCTGGGAAATGAAGTTTTCAGTTACCTCTCAGAGTAGCTGTGAGGAACCAGAGAGCATGTAAATAAAGCATGTAGCCTCGTCAGTGCCATTACTTATCAAGAAACTAGGGTGGGAAGGCAGAGGAAGGTCATCCTCCCTGGGAAGCCCCTGGCTCCCTCTGTGTAGGGGATGAATCTGAGTCAGAGCAAGGTTTAAAGGCTCAGTCCCAGGAAGCACAGCCAGGCGGTCCCTTCCTTGGCAAGGGCTCTGCAAATCCTGGGGCACTTCCTCACCTCAGTCCCTGTGACCTTTCTGCAGATGTGGGAAGAGGCCATCAGTCTGTGCAAGGAGCTGGCGGAACAGTATGAGATGGAGATCTTTGACTATGAACTGCTCAGTCAGAACCTGGTAAGGTGTTCCCGGGAATGTGGATGCCCGGCATGCCAGGTGCTCAGGGCCTCGGCCCACCCCAGAACCTAGGGACAGGGGCTGGGGGCCAGGTGGGGAAACAGAAAAAGAATGGAACCAGGGCCTGAGCATGACTGTGCCGAGTGCTTCCCTTGAGTTGGGAATGTTTCCAAAGAGAGGCATTGTGGGAAACTCATCAGCCACTGTTCCTAGGATGGAGCATTGAGTACCTGCATGGCACTGGGACTGTTGCCGCCACACCCCCAATAAACACTGTGCCACATTTGCAATGAAAGTTCCACAAATCACTAACCCAATTAAATAAAAACACAAATTTGTGCTTTCTGATGAACAGATAAATCACATTAAAATGCTTCCCATCTGGAGACTGTCATTAGCATCCCGACGCTTGTGATTTGGTGGAGGAAGTGGAAAGGGGGGCAACTGAGCCTGCTTGTGCTGCAGAAGCCAGACCTTGCGGGGAGCTGGACTCTGCTGGGAGATGCAGAACTTCGTGGCTGCTGTACTCCCCCACCCCCACATATTTCCTGGCTGCCTCAGTGCCAGGACCCCCCAGGGCCCCTTCTTAGCTCATTTAGAGAGGCCAGTCCAGCCATTTCAGAGTCACAGTTTTTTGGGTAGTGGAGGAGGTATGGTGATCTCATTAAAAACAACTGAGCTGTTGGCTGTTTTTCTGTTTATAAGATATGATGCAAATAGATACACACACGTTTGCACCAAGACACTCAATGTCTGCCACACATGTATATCCACATAACTGTTTGTTGACATGGAGACACACAGGCATTCCAAATGTGTGCATTCAGGTGCACACACGTGCCCAGGGCACATCCATGCATACATGCATATACACTCAGGGGACATTTACACATGCACACATACACCCAGGGTACATGCATGCACACACATGCACAGAGGGTACATGCATACATATATAGGGGTACATGCATTCGCACACACACAGGGTACATGCATGCTCACACACACACACACACACACACACGGTACATGCATACACGCATACACGCACCCAGGACGCATGCATGCACATGTCTGCTCAAAAATCCACATGACACAAGCACCTCTCTAGGTCCACATATATCTTCCAGATTGTATCCAGTTGAAGATAGAATCAATTGTGAGATGAACTGTTTTTTGGGTTTTTTAATGTGCCATGTCATGATTTCTTTAGGGCCAACTGCAATTGTAAGATGCCATCATGTAAAAAGTAAGACTCAAGCTGTTTTCGGAGATGTTAAAATATGAAAAACACACACCCCTCAGGATGGGTGGAAATGATAGGTATACTGTCTATATCCAAAGACGCTTCCCCATCCTTAGGCCTTAGTTATACACACCCCAGAGTGCATGGAGGTGGGAACAGAGGGGCATGATGGGCCAGAAGTGACTGAGTGGGTTCAGCTTCATGCTTACTGGCTACACTGAGATACCATTGTTACGAAAAGGGTACAAGCAAACACTCTAGTGCAGGTAGAGTGATGAACACAGCACCTGGCATCCTGTAAATTCAGCTACTATTACTCTTGTGATTATAGACATAGCACAGATATGCAAATGTGTCTTGACTGTGTCCTCTTGAAGTTGAATGTGCCTTTGACACACATCTATGTTGTGACAAGTTGTGTTTTCTTCTCTTAGATCCAGCAGGCAAAATTCTATGAAAGCATCATGAAAATCCTCAGGCCCAAGCCAGACTACTTTGCTGTTGGATACTACGGCCAGGGATTCCCCTCCTTTCTGCGGGTGAGTTTGTGGGTAACTTGGACACCAGGCTAAGGCCCCAGAGCCTTGGTAACTCAACCATCCTGTGCTTTGAGGATCTGTTTGTTCTCAAAAGTTGTGCTCCCCTCTGAGCACTTCCTCCCCCAGAAGGTTCCCCAATCAATCCCCCTATCATAATCACCAGTATCTATCATCTGCTGTGTTTCTCTAACTACACAGTAACAAAGCTGCCTTGTAAGGTAGTGAATTCCCTGTCTCTGGTATGAGATCTTCAAAGAGGATGGAGGATGTATGCTGCCCACAAATTACTATAGAACAGTCATCCTCAGACTTTTTGGCTTCAGGACCCCCTTTCTTTCTTAAAAAGTATTGAGGATCCCAAAAAACTTCTGTATCTGTAGATCATCTCTATATACATATACAATAAAAAATTAAAACTAAGAAAATTGTTTGAAATGTGACCATTTTTTTTTTTTTGAGTTGGAGTCTCACTCTTGTCGCCCAGACTGGAGTGCAGTAGCCGCTCCCGGCCACCGCAGCCTCGACCTGTTGGGATCCGGCGATCCTTCCGCCTCAGCTTTCCAAGTCGCTGGAACTATAGGCATGCGCTACCATGCCCAGCTGATTTTTTTATTTATTGTAGAGATGAGGTCTCGCTGCCCAGGCGGGTCTCGAACCCGCGGGCTCAGGCAATCCACTCACCTCAGCCTCCCAAAGGCGCGGGATTACAGGCTGAGCCACCGAGCCCGGCTGTGACCATTTATTTAATGGTCACATTAATAATAAACTCATCACACATGAACATAAACTGTGTTTTAAGGAAAAATAAGCCAATTTTCCAATTTAAAAAATCAGTGAAAAGGGGTGAGATTGATTGATATTTATGCAAATCTCTTTAATGTCTGACTTAAGACAGCAAAACTATCTTCCTGCTGTGGCAGTCTGTTGTGACCACTTATCGTACAGCTTCTGGAAAGCACCACTTTGCACTCATGAGAGCATGAGAGGGAAAGAGGCACACACGGTTTTAGTGTGATTGTGAAACAGTCTGACCTTGGGTTCCTGAAAGGGTCTTGGGGACCCTCAGGCATCCCTGGAACAGATTCTGAACCACTGCTCTAGAGACTTCTTCCATCTCCATTACGTGGGGAGTAGGATTAGGTCACCAGTAGGCTTCCTTCAGTCTGTGAGTCTATGGGTCAATTCTGGGTGAGGAAGATACAAGAGAAGAAGCAAGTCTGGTCTCTGACTTCGCTTGATTGAGTCCAGTCAAGGATATAAACCACTCGCCATTACCAGTTGGAATGGGCTATGGGCATAGGTGATCACCCTGAATAGTGGACAGGGTGCATGGTGAGGGTTTCCTGGGTGCAATGGAAATGACTTCTCCAACCTATGTGAAAGTTCCCTGGGGGACTTAAAAATGCAGATTCTTGGGCTCAACTCCCATAGATCCATTTTGGTGGCTCTGGGGGTAAGGCCTGGGAATCTGAATTTTTGAAAGTCTCTGAGACTCTTCTGATGATCAGCTAGGTTTGGAAGCCCTGTTATATAAAGGTAAGTGACATATGTGGGTTTAGACAGAAGAACTTGAGGGCTACTTGAGGCAGGACTGATGGCACAGACATTCGGAGTAGCATTTCTCAGCCTCTGCAATATTGACATTTTGGACCTGGTGATTCTTTGTTGTGGGACTGTCCTGCGCATTGTAAGGTATTTAGCTGCATTGCTGGCCTCTACCCATGGGTTTCAGTAGCACATCCACCCCCAGTAATGACAACCCAGAAATGTTTCAGACATTGCCAGTGTCCCTTGGGGAGGTAACATCACCCCTAGTTGAGAACCACTACTCTATAAGAGACTGACGTGGTTGGGAAGGGTAAAGAGTGTGTTTCTGGGGATTGAGGTCCAGAAGCTGGGGGATGAAGAGCCAGAATGCTGAGCCCTTCTAGCCCGCAGGCCTAGACCATGTGGTCCATGAAAGGCAGAAGGGACATTTTGTGGCTGTGTAGATAGGAAAGTGGGTAGGACACAGTGCAACTTGAGTGAGGAATTATTCTGGAAGCTGTACACAGGAAGGCAAGAAGATACATGGATACGTAATCTTCCCTCTCTCGAGAGACCCAGACTCTTTAGAGAAGTGATGTGTCCAGCTAGGCAGTCAATGAGCTGAGCTCCTCCTTCCCCTGGTGGGAAGCTGGGAGGGTAGGGATCCACCGGAGGCCCCCACAGCCTGTGCTCATTTCTCAAGCTCCCCCGCTTTGCGTGGGCTACACCTGGGCCCCAGAATCTCTGATGGGTATCCTTTCTCTGCAGAACAAAGTGTTTATTTACCGAGGGAAGGAGTACGAGCGAAGAGAAGATTTCCAGATGCAGCTGATGAGCCAGTTCCCCAACTCAGAGAAGATGAACACCACCTCTGCCCCCGGAGATGATGTGAAGAACGCCCCCGGCCAGTGTATCCTTGGAGAATGCCCCAGCCAGGGGACAGATGTGGGCAGGCCTGCTGGGGCTTCAGCCCACAGGGATGCCTCTTAGAGCTCAGAGCTGCTGCCAGGATCATTGCAGTGGTGCCACTTGTAGTGTCCAGTGTGAAAGTCAAAGACCCCATCTCAGTACCTTGTAAAGGATGCCCACATTGGTTAACTCAATCACTTACTTTTTCACTCATTCTTGGAATGAATTCTAGAAAACCCTGACTCCAGGCCAAGCATGGTGAAAAACACTGGAGATTTGCACTGATAATGTGGTCCTACCTTTAGGGAGCTTACAGTGTAGCAAGTAAAAGAGACATTGAACAAGTAATTGCACAGTATATACTTATTTATAAAAATAGGATCCCTGTCACAGATCCTACGGGTGCTGTGTTGGGAGGGCAGAGACAGCCTCCTTGAGGAAGGTGATGTCTGAGGTGACAACCAGTCAAAGTTCAGTGGGAGATGGGTAGAGTATCCCAGACAGAGGGAAGGATGTGTGCAAAGGCCTGTAGTGTGAAGAAGCACAGACGACAACAAGAACTGAAAGTCACCATGTTGCTGCTATCGTAAAATGAGATCTCCTAAACGAGGTCAACCGTCATCTGACCCCAGCCTGCCTGTCCTACGCCATGACCCCAACTTTTCCTTCTCTTTCTCACATCCCTCTGACCACACTGGCTTTGTTTCTGTTTCTTAAACAACCCCAGCTTGTTCTCTCCTCTGGGCCTCCAAATTCTCTGTTCCCACTACTGGGGATGCCCTTCCCCAGCGCTGTATATGACTGGCTCTCTCTCACCCAGCAGATCCTAGCCAGGCATCACTTCTGGAAGAGGCCTTCCTTAACCTTTCTCACATCTAACAGGTCCTTTTCTGGACTCCTTATGACGCTGTTGGGTTGTTTTTTTGTTTTTTTTTTTAAGAGAACTGATCTCAATCTGTCATGATCTTTTGTACCTGTAGCAGATACATGGATGTAAGCTAAAATGTTAGCTCTGTGAAGGAGGACACTTGCTCTACCGTGTTCCCTGCAGTCATTCCCCATTTCCCGCAATGCCTGGCCCAAAGCGACACTCAGTAAATATTTGTTGATTCATAGAAAGGAAAAGCAAACAAGACAAAAAGAGAAAAAAAAAAGAAGAGAGAGAGAGAGATAAATAGAGAAAAGAAGGAAGGCAGGAAGTAGCCAGCTCACCTGGAATACACGAACTCCAGCAACGGTCACAGGGGAGGATGCTGGTGAGACTGGGTGGTGTGTGGTATAGGTGAATGCCAGGGCAGCAGAGCATGGTGTTCAGAAGGTCAGGAGCTGGTGCTGGCAGAGGCACAATTCACCATGGCAGAGAGCGTGTAAACACATGGGAAGGCCAACTGCCGAGCTGGGAAGTGTGTAAACTTAGCCTGGCTCCCTGCATTGTGCCCTTTAGCACAAATTAAGTTACAGCCTTTAAAATGGGGTTGACAGGTTGCATGGCTGGTCTGTTAAGTCTGTTGAACCTTAATCCAAAAATTTTCCCTTGGGTGATAAATATTCGTCTGTAACCTTTTCATGGTGCCTGCCTGCCCTTTGTGCCTGCTCTGCTGTGGTTGTTTGCAGGAGGAAATGCAAGTGGTGGTTGGGACTGGCTATCACAAACATGAGTTTGGTTACTGGCGAGACACGGGATTAATGATGAGGCTTTTGTAAGTGGATGTCCTGGTGGGGAGTGGCTCCGTAACCTTTTAACTTGGAGTCAGGGAGACTGCATAGGTTATTGGGCCATATCATCAAACTTAGGATACCTTTTCTTTCCCCCGGTACAGTGCCAGGAGCCAGGTGCAAAAAAAAGGTGGCTGGAGTGGGGGATGAGCTGACATTTGCCAAACATTCTCTTCATGGGACTGAGTATTTCTTTAAACCCCATGAAACCCTATAAGGGAGGGTGTTAATTTTCTCTATTTCGTAGAAGGAATTCATGGGGCAGAGATGTAAGGTGGTTTGTCTAGGGCTACAAAGCTAGTCAGTGATGGAGATAGCACTTAAACACCAAGACCTATCTGTTTCAAAACAGATGGTTCTGAAAGTGCACCATCTTTTCTTTTATAAAGAAGATAAACAGAATGTTGTTTATTAACTGTCTACTATGTACTAGGCATTGTTTTATTTTATCTTCATAATAATTCTACAAGTTAGGTATTATTGCTCTCTTCATCCTGTTAGTAAGAAAACAGGGGCTCACACAGAATTCAGACAGCTTGCATGAGGCCACAGCTGGAAAGTGATGGAGCCAGGAGTTAAACTCAGACCTCCTGTTTACCAAAATCTTGAGTTCTTGATAATCGGTTCTCTTACCTTCACTTGTTAAAAAGCTGACAAGCAGTTTGGGAAGGTGACAGGTCTCATGTCTTCCCACTTAGGCGTCCAAGAGAGGGGAAACATTTGAAAGCAAAGATCTCTTGGTAGAAAGGTTGCCAGTGCCCAGACCTCCTGGACCACAGTTCCATGTGTAAATTTGCACATGGTGGGAGGGTCTAGCCAGGCATCCTTCTGGTCATCACTCCAGGGTACTGGTGTCATGAATTTCCCTAGGACAGATTTGGATTCTCCTCTTGGACCAAGGCCAAGGGGTAAGATCAGTAGACATAATCTAGAACCATCTCTAGAATAAGGGTTGGAAAACTTTTCTATAAAGCATAGAATGAGAAGTACTGTAGTCTTTGTGGGCCACGTAGTCTCTTTTACAGCTCCCCAACTCAGTCATTGTGGCAGGAGAACAGCCATGGATAGCACATCAATGATGGACATAGCTGTGTTCCAACAAAACTGTATTTATGGACATGGACATTTGAACTTGATATGATTTTCACAAGTCACAAAGTACTCTTTTTCCCCAACCATTTGAAAATGTGAAAATGATTCTTAAGCTTGTGGACCTTATAAAAATAGGCTGTGAGCCAGATTTCACCTAGGAGCCATAGTTTGCCAACCCCTGCCCTAGACTTAATCTAGAGTCATTTCCTTCCCAAAATGCTGTTAGCCAGATGGCTTGAGAAAGAAAAGGTTTCCTGAAGACTGTAGACATACTTCCACTGAGATGTATTCGTTTGTAGTAAGCATTGCCTTCTCTCTGGGAGATCTTCATTTAAGGCAGAAATGATCTTCTAAGTTAAAATGATTAAATCCCTAACATATTAGCATAGGTAAGTTTATCAGGGACAGGCAATGAAATTTAACTTGAAACTAGGTTTTGACCATTCTTATGTATAAAAGAATGGCACCCTCTGCCATCAGAAAAGTTCACGATCTGGGCAGGAGCTGGGGGGCAGGGGTGGGTTGGGAGGGAGGGAGAAGACAGGGAGCTGGAGAATTGATTCTAAGGGAAAGCTAGAGTAGGAAAACAACTCCCAACTGGGGGTTGGTTTAGTTCTCATGGACTGTGGTATTTGACATCTGCCTGAAGGGTTCATAGGAGAAATGGTGATGGGGGAGGATGTTTCAAGCAGAGAACAGTAGGACCTGTTGGATAGCCACAGATAATGTTGTCAGAATGGGTTATGGCCATATTGACCTAGCTTTGGAGGCAGCAAGAGGAGTTCTTGATTCCTTAGTTGGCAGATATGTCAGGCCTAGGAGAAGACTTTTTGGAGTTATGGTGGTCATGTATAGAACAGAGGGAGGAAACAACTTGAATTCCTAAATAAGAGATGTGAGCAGAAGAAATAGAAATTAGGGAAAGGGGAGTAGTGGTCAGGGATAGGACCAGTGACCACTGACTTTTTTCATTCTATTTAACCATATTGTTGGCTTATATTGAGTAAAGACAAGTCTAGAAGAGGTGTGACAAAGGTGTGGCCCACATAATGCCTCTCCAACATCTGTGCCCATGGCAGGCATCACTAATCAATCTTCTCCACTGAGTCTGGACATGACTCCTTACAACCTGCTACAGGCAGTTGCTTTCAAATTTTCAGAGTTAAGAGTACAAAATGACGTGTTATTTGCATGTTGTAAAGTTGTCCTTCTCAAACTTTAGCATGCATATGAATAACTGAGAATCTTTTAAAATACAGATTCTGGCTTAGTAGATCTCAAGTAGGGCCAGAGATTCTCCATGACTAACAAGCTCTCAAGTGATGCTGATGCTACTGGTCAGAGGACTGCCTTTGAGTAGTGAGTCCAGTGTATAAGAATTCTGAGCATAGAACTAAAAGACCCAAATACAAACTCTGATCTGTTCTTGTAAGCTATGAGAGCTTTGACAAGTTACCTGTCTTCTCTGACCTCTACAGAAACAATTTGGGTCAATAATGCTACTCGGTGGAATTAGAAAGATGACAGGAGACCATGAGGAAGTGTGCCCTGCAGTTGATTGACAGCTGTACATGCATTGGATAGTATTATTGTTAATGGTAAAACAATGGTGATGAATAAGCACCACTGGCCAACTCTGTTAGCAAGGGCTGGGCCCTGGGATAGGGTGGCAAGGTGACAGCTCTGTTAAGGACCTCAGTGACTGCTAACTGGTCATGAGTGCCTAGTTGCAGCCAGCAACCTGAGGTTGATAGTTCAGTAAGACATGGCCCAGAAGTGCTGGCCTGGAACATCCCAGCTGTGACCTGCTGCTCTTGAAACTGTCCCTGCAGCCAACAGACGTGAGATATGTCCTTAACTGCAGGGATTCCAGACATCCAGTGTTTCACTGTCCAGCCGGTCTTGGATGAACACCCCAGGTTCAAGAATAAGCCGGTGCCTGACCAGATTATAAAGTAAGACCCACAGCCCACTGGGAAGAAGAACGGGAAAGAAAGCCCAGTGGAGCCACCAAGCCGAGCTCGTATCCAGACAGGCCCCAGAGCCCTTCTTGTTCCCTCTCAATCTTAGCCAATGTATCCTACCTTTTCCTATTGGGAGAAGAATCCCCCAAAGTCAGCTGGACTCTGCTCCTAATAAGGCTGAAGCCAGAGACGAGGGAAGGGACAAGGCGATGTCTCTGCAAATCCTCGATAAGCACCAAGGAGATTCACTGAACTGGACGTAGAAGACCTGTCACTCACATTGAGCCTGTAGTGGCTCCAGAGAACCCACACGCAGAATGTGACTGGACGGGTGACAAGTAGGGTGGGGACATGGTGGCCTTGGTGATGCTGAGTATGTTCTCCCAAAAGGACATCACTTCAGCATTTGTGAAGGTTGTACATTGACCATAGGTGTGCTCAGACTCTGATAAAGGAACATTAGAGGACATAGCATGAAGGTGGGTGTCCATCTGTGCTATACAAGATTACAAGGTTACTGATGAGGCCATGAGGCTAGGCTCTGTGGGAGACAAGGCTGCACTCCTCCCATCTACCCAGCTCACCCACACTCAGTGGCCATGTACCCCAGAGAGCATCTAGAGTGTCTTAGAATAAGTCATCCCCTCTAGGTGACCAGTCAGAAGCAGAAGGTGCTTTTGAGAGGAAGAGCCCTTCCCTTCAGGGGGAGGCAACCCCTCCTGGCTGCCTCACACCAGTGCCAAGGCTGAGCAGGGAGCACTCAGTGTGGGTCTCACCCTCCCCTCACCATCTCAGTCTGTGGACTAGGGACAACAGCCATGTGGTTGGCACAATGTCCTGCTGGCCTCAATGTCAGAACCTTGCTAGGGATTCAGGAAGATTGATTTGGGGGAATGACTGGGACACCTAAGAAAATCCTTTGAGCAGGCAGGTGCAGTGTAATCCTGTAATCCCAGCACTTTGGGATGCCAAGGCAAGAGGCTCACTTGCAGCCAGGAGTTTGAGACCAGCCTGGGCAACATAGCAAGACCCTGTCTATACAATTTTTTTTAAGTTAGTTGGACATAGTGGCTTGTACCTGTAGTTCCAGCTACTTGGGAGGCTGATGGGGGAGGATCCCTTGAACCCAGGAAATGGAGGGTACAGTGAGCTAAGACCATGCTGCTGCACTCCAGCCTGGACAGCAGAGCAAGACACTATCTCAAAACAAACACAAATTCTTTGAGGATACCGTTGGGACATTAGGCTTGGACTCGGGGTCTGTCTAGCTCCTTTGTTGACGGTCACAGGAAATGGTGATGTAGGCCACCCTATGTGCATTAATGCTAGGATTTCAATTACCTGGACACTCTAGGGTGCTGTGTTCTTGTGTGGTCATAAGACCAGCCTACCTTCTAAATTGCCTTGCCAGGAAAGCCTGTGCAAGAGTCACTTTTATGAAGCCCAGAACACAGACTCTAATGTTAAATGCTACCACGGGGACTCGGCCAGGTCTGAAATCATTATAACAAGCCTCCCTAGACAGTGTGGGGTCAGGTCAGATGTCAGCAGCTGGGTGTGGCTGCCAGGAGCCTCAGTCTTCTCCTGTCTTTCAGCTTTTACAAATCCAACTACGTGCAGCGATTCCACTACTCCCGGCCTGTGCGCAGGGGCACCGTGGACCCAGAGAATGAGTTTGCCGTGAGTATCCCCCTCACCCTTGACCGTTCCCCCCTGTGCATCCGTCGGCCTCAGAATAGGAGGGAACTTGATCTAAAGCAAAAAAATAAAATGAGACTGACCTCCATGGATATGATGCCACACATTCCACAGTATTTTCCATTGGGTTTGTTTTTCACTTCTGGATCCTTTTCCCTTTCGATATGGAACCTGGGCTTCAGATCAGATGCACTTTTTCAACCACAGGGCATCCAGGCATCCAGCAGGTAGAAGCCCTCAGGCTAAGAAAGGGTGTTGATAAAGTCAGACACCAATAGGAAAGCACAGAAATTCTGTCATCACTGTCCCCTGAGAGCTGGTCCCCTGTGTGTGTGTTTCCCACTAGGACCTGTCTTCTGTTCCCAAGGGCCAAGGCTGGCATGAAGTGGTGGCTCCAAGTCTCTCTCAGCCCTTTACCTTAGACTGTGAGTCTTAGCATTTGGGGAGTCACTGCCCCTTTGAGACTCCAGTGAATACTGTGGATTCTCCTCCCAGAAAACACAATTGGACACATTCAATATTGCCCAAATTCAGACTGTTAATAAACTCAGGTTGGAACTGATTTGGCCTAAGTCCAGGAAAAGCTTGAACTTCCTGTTGGGAAGGAATTCTTAAGAGTAAGGTGAAAGCAGGTTTCTGGGTCTTGCGGTGTTGAGTCAGCTTTCAGGTCCAGGGGAGGCCTGAGGGCTGGCTGGGTTTCTGCTGAGCTCCTCTGATACTCACATGTCATGAATGTTTTACTTTCCTGCCACCCTTACCCATGGACAGTCCATGTGGATTGAGAGAACCTCCTTCGTGACTGCGTACAAGCTGCCGGGCATCCTGCGCTGGTTCGAGGTGGTGCACATGTCCCAGGTGAGTCTGCGGTGTTGACAGTAGGCCATCTCCTCCTCTGTTGGGTAGGGCATGGCCAGCCTCTTGAGGCTCCTTTGACTTTAGAAAGGGGACACGTTTTTGTTTGACACTACAGTGGCAGTTCCAGAATTCAAGTGTAGGAGGAGACCTGAGGCAGTGTCCAGAGCAGCTGCTTTCAGGTTTGTGTGTAAGGCTCAGATAACCCCTTTGTTTTTTGCAAATGAAACTTCCCATAGACTCCAGTCAGAAAGCCAATGAATGGGAGCTACTGTAGTGGAGTGGGACCTGGCAGAGGGCCTGGAACTTCATCTACTCCATCACCACTTCATACTCCTCCCATCTTAATAGCCCCTTGGGGTCACCTTTGCAGTATCCCACTGTGAACCCATTTTATAGGTTGATAAACTGAGACTTAAAGAGGAGTCACACAAAGCCAAGGCACTGACAAGAATCCAACTGTTTGAACTCGCTTGTGCAGATAGCATGTATTTTGCTTCTCAGTACACCTTAGTGTCTCCCTGTCTTCAGTCAGCTAAGGATCTTGCAGTTCCCAAGATACAAGGGAAGGGCAATGTGGTTATATGAGGAAACCTTACAAACAGGGACATATCCAGAGTGCCTTATTTATTTATTTATTCAAATTATTTAGTCAGCAAAAGAAATCTGCACTTTTAGAGTGAAATCCAGGCTTAGTAGTTCAAGTAGAAAGTTACCCCTATGGAGATGGTTATAAAGAAATGGTCAGAAATAAAGGAAAACTTGGGTTAAAAAAATTTATTTAATGTGTACCTAACATATATGAGGAATGATTCTAAGATCTGAGGATTCTGCAATAGAGCTTACATTCTAGTGGGGGAGACAGACTAAGAAGTCAATGTAAATAGATAATATGCCAGAGGGAGAAAAATAAATCGGGAATGTGGTGGATGAGGAGTTGCTATTTGAAATGGGTGTTCACAGAAAGCTTCCCTCTAAAATGATTGTTGAGTAGAGGAAGTAAGGAAGAGGTTCGTGCAGACATTGAAGAGAGGGACATTCCAGCAGAGGAAACAGAAAATGCAAAGACCCTGGGGCCAGAGCATGCTTGTATCCAGAGTGAGGGGTGAGTAACAGGAGTCTGATACCAGATCACATAGGACCACCATAAGGACTTTGGCTTTTCCACTGGGTGACATGAAGCCATGAACAGAAGAGGGACACGGTCTACTCACATTTCTGAACTACTGTATTGTGAGCATTAAGACCATCTCTCTTTTGCCTTTAATGACACCCTGCCCCCCGCTTCAGTGAGCCCAGCAACTCAGTATCCTTCCAACCTCTTTTTTATAGGTATGGTCTAGACCTTAGGAAAATATAATAATCGTGGTGACAAGAACAAGATGTTTTGAGTGTGGGCTAAAATGTTCACATGCATGATCTCATTTCAACCCCCTCCAGCAGCCCCCCATTTTACAGATGAGAGAACCAAGATGCAGAGGGAAGTGAGGGGTTGTTGGAGGTTAGGGATAGACATAGGGTTTGACTTTAGACTTCTATATCAGGCACCTGGCCCGAACACATTATCTTCTTTTTTAGAGTGTCTCAGCTCACCACAGCAAGTAGGATCCTGGAATAGAAGAAACTGTTTGTGCCCTTGGATCATGGGACACACTGACATTAAAAAAATTTTTTTTAATGTCCCAGGGACATTATCTCATTTATAGCCCAGGGATAGCATTATCCCATTTAATTTTTACTAAACTCTGTGAAGTACATTAATCCTATTCTTGGGGTAACGAATCAGAAACTTTGTACCAATCTGTAACCTTTGCCCATTATCCTTGGCTGAACCCTGTCCCCTGGTTGAGCTCAGCAAGGTGCCTCTTTTCATGAAGTCATTCCTGCCACACTGTTGCAGACTAAAGGGCTCATCCCTATATTTTATTTATTTTTTTAAACATATTTTTTATTTTAAAATTGTGGGGTACAATTAAGGGTTAGGTATACAAATATGCATTGTGCAGGTACCCTTGTTGATGAGGTGTGCCCCCCATTCCCAGACAGATATCGACTACTATTAATCCCACCACCCTGCCCCCCATAGTTTCACGCCACTGTCAATCCTTGTCTTATAGTATTATGATAGTTGTTCAAGGTCCACTTATGAGTGAGAACATGTGATACTCAGATCTTTGTTTCTGTGAGACATCACTCAGTATTATAAACTCCAATTCCATCCAGGTTGCTGTGAAATTCATGATTTTGTTCTTTTTTATGGCTGCATAGTATTCCATCGTGTATATGGACCACATTTTTTAATCCAGTCCTCTTTTGATGGACAGCATGGTTGGTTCCAGGTTCGTGCTATTGTGAACAATGCTGCGATAAACATACGTGTGCAGGTATCTTTTTTATAGAGTAATTTGAATTCTTCAGGGTGTATTCCTAGTAGGGAGATTGCAGGGTCATATGGAAGGTCGATTTTTACAGCTTTCAGGAATTGCCACACTGATTTCCACAGAGGCTGCACTAGTTTACACTCCCACTAACAGTGTAGAAGTGTTCCCTTTCACCATATCCTCTCCAGCATCTGTTATTTTTTGAGTTCTTGATAATGGCCATTCTGACTGGAGTTAGGTGGTGTCTCAGTGTGGTTTTGATTTGCATCTCCTTGATGACTAGTGAGGTTGAGCATTTCTTCATGTGTCTGTTGGCTGCTCGTATGTCATCCCTATATTTTAGTTCCCTCGATGGCTATATGTCTCCTCAAAGCACTCATCACCCCAATAGAATACATAACTTTCCTGTTTATTTTTAATATTAATTGATAGAATATAAAATATAATATGTTAGACTATACACTGCACTAGAATATAAACTCCATGAAAATGGAGATTTTTGTCTATTTTATGCCCTGCAACATCTCCAAGAGCTAAGAGCAGTCCCAAGCCCATAATAAATGCTAATGAAGTAAATCAGTCATCAATCAATATGCAGACATCCATCCTGTGGCAGAAATCAGAGGTAATAACAACACCTATCCTGTGCAGCTCATGGAATTCCTAGGTCAATTTAAGAAGATGATCCTAGTCAAATGCCTTTGAAGAATATACAATGCCACCTAATTGCAAGGAATGGCAGTCACTTCCTCTTTTATGTGATGTCCCCCACCTACTTGCACACACACTTGCGCACTATTTTTCCAAAGTACTTTTCCCCAATAATTAATTTTCCCTTTGCAGCAAGCTCAGCAGGGGCTATTATACCCATGCTGCCATAAAGAAACTGCAGCTCAGCTTAGGAAAGAGGCCAGAGATTTGAAGGCTTGACTAAGTCCCAACAGTCAGTTGATGGAATGTTTGGTCTCAGGGCTTGATCCACATGTGTTGGAAAAAGCCACTTTCAGAATCAAGAACACCTGAGTCCTCTCTCAAGCGTTACCACCATGTATCCATGGACAAGTGACTTAATCTGTGGTCAGGAGAGTGAAATGAGCATGTGTGTGACATGCCCATCAATCGATATGTGGAGTTATTTTCACTGTCATGATCAGTACTTTTATTCCCGTTATCAGCTTCTGACATCCAGGCTTTCCATCAAATTTATAGTCTCCCTCTATGCTCTGATTGTTATATATTTGATCTACACAAATGCCCTTAGGTGAGAAACCAAAGTTATTTTCACTGTCATTCCCTGTTCCTGATGGTTGTAATAGGGATAAAGATTTCAGAACCAAAAATAGTTTCAAAAACGAGCAGGAAAGCCAATCAATTGCTCTTTCCATTTTTAATGGCTTACCTTAAAGCCTGAGTCTGTCAGATATGCCAGACTATTGTGGAAATCCAGGTATGGTGCATGGGTCTGTCCAGGTGTTGATGATAGACGTTCCTTACAATTCAGTCTAGACCTTGGCCCTTTTAAAGCCCCTACAGGGTTGTTCTGTGCACTTGTCAGATACTAGACTGTGGGTTTCAGTTTGAGGGACTATGGACTGCAGCCCCTACCAGGTCAAGCACCATTCCCCAACAGTTTTGTGTGTATGTGTGTATGTGAAAAGGGGTGTGTGTGCTGAGTGTGTGCCTGCATTCATGTTGTGTATGTGCAAATGTGTGTGTGTGCGTGTGTGACAGAGACTGACAATGACAGAAAGAGAGAGAAAGTATGTCTACTTCCAGAACCTTCTCACTGCAGAGAGCAGCCGTCTTCAAAAACATCCAGACATAGGGGAAAGGATGAAAAGACTGCAATTTCACAGAAACTTAAGGAAATGGTTTTAAGAGATGACCAAGAAGAAGATGGTCAAAACATGGAAGAATAAGAAGCTCCTGTCTCTCCTTCCTCTCTTATTTATGCATCAAATAGACCCTCTATTCATGGATCGATTCCTTCTGAGAGATAGAGACCAGTTGAGAGACTCCTACTCACCAGGCAATTGAGGAAGCACCCACACTGAACTGATAGGAAAAGAGAAGGCACACCTGGGTATGGACCACGCACCGGGCACTGCACCATACAATCAGGAAAGTAATCCCCAACACTTGGCTTGTCCCTGTGGAGTGGAGGGTTTGGGCCTAATTTCATGGTTCCCACAGGTTGGCTCTTAATTCACTGACTCTGGGAGTACACAGGATTAGACACATACAAGTCTCTATAGACCACAGGAGAAAAGCAATAGGTTTAAGGGTGTACAAGCACTTTCAGGGGCTCTGTTCTCCAGGAGCAGTGTGGTAAAGGGACTTTAAAAAATGAAGCTCAGCCGGGCTTGGTGACTCAAGCCTGTAATCCCAGCGCTTTGGGAGGCAAAGGCAAGAGGATTGCCTGAGCCCAGTGGTTTGAGACCAGCTTGGGCAACTTGGCGAGACCTCATTTCTACAATAAATTTTTTTTTAAAATTAGCCTGGCATAGTAGTGCACCCCTGTAGTTCCTGCTTCTTGGAAGGCTGAGGCAGAAGGATCACCTGAGCCCAGCAGATTGAGGCTGCAGCAGCCGTGAGCATGCCACTGTTCTCCAGCCTAGGCAACAGAGTGAAACTCCAACTAAAAAAAAAAAAGTTAAGCTTCCTGTTTATTCCCAGAAGGGATTTATGACACACTCTTCCAGTGGCTACTCGGTGACTTGGCTTCTAAGTAACTTGCACTGGGGAGTTAAGGGGCAGACAAATATTCATTCACTGGCACCTGAGAATCAGACTGTCACTTTTAAAACCTTGTCTCCCAGCTTACCCTAGCAATAACTACAAATCTGTTAATTCCTCCTGGAAGGAGTTTGTTCACACATTGCTCCAACTTTTAGTTTCTACCCAAGGGACTGCATCCTAAACCTCCTAGCTCTGTGAGCAAAAGTGGCTGGCATATGCAGGTCTCTCTGGACCACAGGGAACAAAAACAGGTTTCTATGGGCAAACAAGCACTTCCAGGACTTAATTCCCTGGGAGAAAGGGTTTAAGAATGTCAGCCCCCTGTTTCTCCCTAGGAGAAATTTATGCCATACATTGAGTACCACAGTTTTTATAGCTACCTCCAGAAGGACTCCATCCCAAACCTCTTAGCTGTGGGAGCAGGAGGGTGTAAGCATATGTGAATCTTCCCAGATCACAGAACAAAGAGGTAGTTTAAATGGGTGCACAAACACTTTCAGGGTCTATATCCCCCGTGGAGCACTGTAGAAAAGGGACAGGTATATGCAGCTACATTTCTTTCCAGAAGAGACACACTCTTCCAGTAGCTACTTGATGACCTGGCTTCTAACAAACTTGCACCGGAGAGTTAATGGAGCAAACAAGCAATAGTCCTCCTGCAGCCACAGCCAAAGCTTGACACTTCACAAGCTATTTGTCTGGCCTGCCCCAGTGATAAAACCAAGTCTACCCCATTCTTCCCATAAGGAGTTTGGCCATACATCATGTGCCACAACTTCTAAGTTTCCACCCAAAGGACTGTCTTCTTAATGTCCTAGCTCTGGGAGTTAATTGAGTATTGCCTTCCGTTCTGGGAGTCAATTGAGTGTTGCCTTCTAGAGTGGCCCCAGACCACAGAAAAAAAAAAGAGGTGGCTATACAATAGGCCCAGTTTCTTCCCCAGAGTCAAAGGGTGCACCTGAACCTGAGTACAGGAATTTGCCACAGATCCTCTCCCCAGCTTAGTGCAGACAGAGTGGGAAATAAACACCCATGCTCAGTATCATCATGAGGATAGAAAGAGCTGGAACACATATCCAATATCTCAACCTTTCTGACTACATCTAGAGAGTCTGTCTTTCAAGTCTCAGAATACTGACAAAATGTGGCACATCCTAAGCTCCAAGGGCCACCAAAAGCAGAGACAGCAGTCTGGACAAGCCTCAAGATTTGAGAGGCACATTCAAATCTTGAGCTGGATGGATTAGTCAGATCCTTCTTCTACACAAGGCCAGCCTGACAAGATTAGAAGAGGTAGTTGCCTTATCTAATGCACATAAACCAACAGAGAGTCAAGGAAAGTGAAGAAATTGAGGAATATATTCAAAATAAAAGAACAAGATAAATCTCCAGAAATGGACAAAAGTAGAGTGGAGATATGTAATTTATCCAACAGGGAATTAAAAATAATGGTCATAAAGATGCTTACCAAGGTCAGAAGAGCAGTGTGAGAACACACTAAGAATGGCAACAAAGAGAAAGAAAATATAAGAAGTACCAAACAGAAATCATAGTGCTTAACAATATTATAACTGAACTGAAAAATTTAATAGAGAGGTTCAACAGCAGACTAGATCAAGCAGAAGAAAGGATTAGTGAACTTGACAAAAGGTCACTGGAAAGCATACAATCTGAGGAGCAAAAACATAGAAGAATGAAAAACAGTGAGGATAGTATAAGAGATTTATGGAACACCATGAAGCATAACAACATACACATTGTTAGTGTCCCAGAAGGAGAAGGGAGCAAGAAAGGGACAGAAAGCATATTCAAGGAAATAATGGCAGAAAACATTCTAAGACCGGGAAAGAACATAGAAATCTAGATGCAGGAAACTCTAAGGACAAAAAATAAGATTAATCCAAAGAAACCCTCACTAAAACATGCCATAATTAAATTGTCATTAGTTAAAGACAAAGAGAGTTTTGAAAGGAGCAAGGGAAAGCAAGTTGTTATGTACAAGGGAACCTCCATAAGATCACCAGTGGGTTTTTCACCAGAAATCTTGTGGGCCAGAAGAAAATGCTATGATATTTTCAAAATTCTGAAAAAAAAAAGCCAACCAAGAATATTATACCCAGAAAACCTGCCTTTCAAAAATGCAGTGTTGATCAAGACTTCCTCAGACAAACAAAAGCTGAGAGAGTTTATCATCACTAGACCTACCTTACAAGAAAAGCTAGAAGTAGTTCTTCAAGCTGAGAAAGAGGATGCTAATTAGTAAAATAAAAGCAAATATAAAATTTAGTGGTAAAAATAAGTATATTGTCAAATCCCAAGCACTCGTATACTGTAATGGTGGTGGGTAAATCAATTCTATCTCTAGTATAAAAGTTAAAAGGCAAAACCAGAAAAAAAACTAAAGTTCTAATTATTAAGGTTACAAATTATTTTTTAAATGTAAATTGTGACATCAAAAACATAAAACAGGGGGAGTAAAAGTGCAGTTTGTGTATGTGATCAAAATTAAGTTGGTATCAGCTTAAAATAATCAGTTATAAATGTAAGATGTTCTATATAAGCCTCAGTGTAGCCACAAAGCAAAATCCAATAATAGATAAAAGTTAAAAAGGAAAGACTCAAAGTATACCCCTACAGAAAAAGCCATCAAACCACAAAGGAAGAAGGGAACAAAGGATCTACAAAACAACCAGAAAACAACGAACAAAATGACACTAGTAAACCCTTAGCTATCAGTAACTACTTTGAATGTAAATGGATTAAATTATTTGATCAAAAGGCATAGAGTGGGTGAGTGGATACAAGCGCAAGACTCAACTCTATGCCTTACCTTAAAGGACACTCATAGATTGAAAGTGAAGGGATGCAAGAGATATTCCATGCAAATACAAACAAAAAGAGAGCAAGAGTAGCTGTGTTTTGGTTTTTGTTTGTTTGTTTTTTCCCCAGGGAAAAAAATAGACTTCAGTTCAAAAACTATAAAAATGACAGAGAAGGTAATTATATGGTGGTAAGGGGTTCAGTTCATCCAGAAGATAATAATTGTAAATATTCGAGCTCCTAAGTGTGTAAAGCAAACATTAAGACCAAACATTCAGATGAAGGAAGACATAGACTGTAACACAATAATCATAGGGATTTCACTGCCCTACTTTTCAATACTGGACTGGTCATTCAGCAAGAAAATCAATAAGGAAACATTGGATTTGAACTACACTTTAGAGCAAATGAAACTGACAGACATACACACAACATTCCACTCAAGAGTGACAGAATACACATTCTTCTTAAGTACATATGAAACATTTTCCAAGATAGATCATACATTAGACCAAAAAACAATTCTTAACAAATTTAAAAAGATTTCCACTCAGTCTAATTATTTTAGTCTAGTACAGAGTCAGCAGACCATGGCCTGTGGGCCAAATCCCACCTGCCACTTATCTTTGTAAATAATTTTATTGGAACAACCATTCTCATTCATTTACATAGTGCCTGTGCTTTTGCCCTATAATAACAGAGTTGAGTAGTTGCAACAGAGTCCTCCTGGCCTGCAAATCCTAAAATATTTACTATCTAACTCATTTACAGAAAACTTTGCCGACCTCTAGTTTGGTTTTTCACTCTAGAGTTCATGCTTTAGCAAATTGCATTGCTTTGCCAGTTCTCATCTGATGGGACTCCATTTACATTGCCTTCTAAGAGGACCTGGAGAGGAGTTTAGTTTTATCTTCCAAAATAAACTGATTCTACCTTGGAACAGCAACACACTCCAACAGTAACCAGCCTTAGGACTTACTATGTGCCAGCCTGGGTGCACAGATGGCAAGCTGCTCTGATCTTTCTGGCTAGTAGCTTACACATAATAGCTGCTTAACCAATACCCAAAGGGTTGCATTGATCATAAAAGCACAGGAGCCAAAAATCAAAGTTTCATGTTTCACCCAGGAAATAAGAATAGAAAACCTTCTCTGGGGTACACTCAGTCTCTGAAACACCACCAAGTGCCTGACACTTCTGCCTCTATCTCCCCAGAGAAATCCCTTTCTCACTAAGCAGAAAGTCAGCCTGTCTGTCTCCAAACAGCAGCAGAGCTCACTAATTACAAGATCCTGCTACAGTCCCTCAGGGAGCATTGCCTCGTTTGAATTCTCATCCCATGTGAAGTCAATACAAATAATGATATAGTAAGTCCCCTACATATAAACCTTTAAGTTATGAATTTCATGCACACCTGTGTTTTTTATGTATTATTTCTCTCTACCAGGTATCAGTATAGCCTGTTAAATACATACAGTATTATATAGCCGATTGTGTTAGTTGGGTACCTAGGTTAACTTTGTTGGACTCAAATTGGACTTACAAACGCGCCCCTGAAATGGAACTTGTTCATATGCAGGGAGCTTTCTGTATCTGTTTTTAAAGCATCCTACTAAGACCCTTTTTCCTTGATGATCTCATATTCAACAGACCACGATGAGTCCTTTGGAGAATGCCATCGAAACCATGTCCACGGCCAACGAGAAGATCCTGATGATGATAAACCAGTATCAGAGTGACGAGAACCTCCCCATCAACCCACTGTCCATGCTCCTCAACGGAATTGTAGACCCTGCTGTTATGGGAGGCTTCGCCAAGTATGAGAAGGTGCGGGTTTCTGTGCATCAGGCCCTGGTGGGGGACAGAGCAGTGGTGGGAGGAAAGGAGGAGAGAAGCAGATGTAGCCGCAGGTCACTCACCTTACCGTGACTGCCCTTGAGCCCCAGAGCGACACTCAGTGTGATTGGACCTCATGTAGCTCCCAGAGTTTCTACAGCCTCATGTCTTAGCTGGAATCCCATCTCCTTCCTGCTCTCATCATTGCACTCTGTGTTGGGACAGGAAGGGGCGGAGTCATGAGTCCCTTATCCTAGGGGACAGATCCATGTGGCTCTATGAAGGAAAAGCTCTAGGATGATTGTGAGCCAGATCATAAAAGCACAGTAGCCAAAAATCAAAGTACATGCCACTTTTATAAACCCACCTCTTCCACAGAGGATCTGAAATTATATACACATGGGGAAAAAAGATGAAACTTAGGATTTTTGGAAAGACAGAAAGATTAGGAGAGCAACTCCAAGACAGAGCTATAGCCTAGATATCTAGGTCATAAGATCCCTCCAGAAAGCCCCACACATTTGAGCCACAGATTTCATTTTTGTGCTTCCTGGTGTCCACAGCAAAAAGGGAAATAGCATCAGTTATATGAGTCGCATTATCTGCTGGTGGGGAGTGAGGGAGGAATGCCAATTTCTCAGTAGGGAGACATAGGTTTTCTTGGCATTGAAGTAGAATAGAAAGTTCTTCCTTGATTTTCACCTGGCAGACACCGAAGGAAAAATGGACCCTTCATGCTAATAAGTCTCATGATGATTTCCCTATTATTGTTCTTATGTTTTCTATCGGTGTAAAACTAAGAATACAGCACAGTAGTATAATTCAGGGATAGAAATTCCAATCAGCAAATCAGTACTTCCAGCGACCCTCAGACACCCCATATAGTCATCACTGGTAGCCCTTTGCTTGGTCTTGATATCAGTATAAATGTGTGTGCACACTAGGGACACAAGACCCAGAAAGGGCTAGGGAGCTGCCAGGGTCACTTACAATGAGCCTGGCCACGAGGTAAGCCTAGCACGCACAAGGTGAGATTCCATTCTGAGTTTTTCCTCAGAACAGTGTCATCAAACTTGGCGGTGCATCAGAATCCTCTGCAGGGCTTCTTGATACATGGGTCCCCCCCTGAAGTTTCTAGTCTGGGCTGCGGCCAGAGAATTTGCATCTCTAACAAGTTCCCAGGTGATGATACTGCTGGTCCAGGGACCCCACTTTGAGAACTACTTCCCTGGAGTTTGTAGCCCATTGCCAGTGGGTGCTCATCTGAGCCTCCAGGCAGAGATAACGTCAGTTTCTACAGTTCTCTTACTGTTGTTTCATCCAAATGCCTGTGAGTGCATCCCTGCCCTTCTCAAATGGAATCTTCTCCTGATGCCAAAGAAAATGAATCCCCAGGAAACCCCAAATGAACAGGAAACCCCACATCTCTGTCCTCCCTAGGCCTTCTTCACTGAAGAGTACATCAGGGACCACCCTGAGGACCAGGATAAGCTGAGCCACCTCAAGGATCTGATTGCATGGCAGGTAAAGCAGGCTGGACCAGGGAGCACCCGGCCTTCCTCCTCGCCCTCTCCATGGCTCGCCACCCCGCTCTGGGCTCTGGCTGGTGCAGCCTAATTTCACATGACCTCCTGGCCTTTGCTTTCTGGCCCCTTTTCTGACTCTCTGTCACACCTGAACGGGCTCACCCTTGCTCAGGGATTGGGGTCACTCCACTTTTGGGGGTTGCATGGTGCTGGGCAGTAGTGCTGTGCTGGATGTTGCTAAGATTGTGTTATTTGATGTTGAAAGCAGGAGGTGGCTTTCTGCAGTGGCCAGAGATGATTATCAGCCCCCTCCCCCACACATACCCAGCACTGGCCAATTAGATCATAGAGACTTGGGCCTCCACCTCCACCCCTCCTCCTTCTAGGGCTGACCCAGTTTGTTGCAGATAATGCTTAGATGGGTATCAGGTTGTGAGAATAATTTCATTGGCCTTTCATTGGTTGTGGGTCCAAGGGTCTGCCTTCCTGCATCTCATATAAGCTGGACTCAGTAGGCATGGCCCTTCCCACCACCCTGCTCGCACGGCCTGGTCACTCATCTGTCTCTCTTTGCACCTCTTTCCTTCCTTTGGACTCTTTCTTCCCTCTTTTCTCTCTTTCTTGGCATCTGTCTCTGTCTCCCCCCTGCCCTTAGAAGCCTTCGCTTCTATCCCTGTCCTTTCTGTCTTTTGCCCCACTCTGCCCTCTACGCCCTCACGTCTTACTCTTCTCTCGGCTTGTCTTCCTCTTCTCTCTTTCACTTGTTCTTAGCCAAAAGACCAAGAAGTGATCCTCTTCTCTCTTTCTCTCTTTTCCTGTCCCTGCAGAAGAAGCAGTATGCTAGATCCCTTCTCCCATAGGGCCAGGCTTCTCCTCCAGGTCTGGGCAACCCTCTCCTCACACATCGTCAGCTCTGGGCTCTCAGCAGGCCACCCAGCAGAAGACAGCGGTGGGCTCCAGAGGGCAAAGCTGGCGGGAGGCAAGCAGTAGGCTCAGGGGCAGGGAGCAGCAGCTTGCAGCTGCCTGCTGTCCCTCCCTCTCTTCTTGCCAGTCACTGTGCAAAGAAAAGCAAGCTTTTGTAGTAGGGCGTTTTGTTACTCTAGGGAAATCAGGGAATGAGAAGGATTGGGTGCAGCCTCTTTTCTTAAAATAAGGATTCCTAATTCAGGTCCTTCTCTGCCTCTGCCAATTTATGCAAAGTGGGCCTTTAAAAATGAAACACCAAGCACTGCACAAGATGCACTTTTCGCGAATGCATTGTGTGTATCTGTCTGAAATTTTGTCTCCCTTTTTACCTTATGCCACCTGTGAAACCCAAATATTCCCAAGGTCCCCAGCTTTTGGGGGTCACTGTGCCCTATGATATTCAAGTAATGATATTCTCCTTCACCATCTCCAATTTGGGAAGCAGGAAGGCCAGGCTTTAATTGGCTCCCATCCTTGGTTATTTCTGGGGTGCCCCAGGGAAGGTTAACATGTTATACAAATTCACTTAATTGTTGGGTGTCACTCTCAATCTGATCCTCTCCATTGACGACCTCTTCTTATCCAGAAACAGCTTCTCTGTGCTGTGTCCAACCACATCCAACGAATGGGCCTCAGCTTCACAGCACAGCTAATACCAGGGACTCCCAACAAAGAAGAGAGACTGAAAGCATGTGCAGTGTTACATATTAGGACTTCCACCAGCCATTAGCTAGGCGCCTTCCGACAGCGCCCCCTAATGGTCATCTTCTTGGCATAGCCCACTGCCCTGGAGGCCACCATGTTACAGAAACCAACTTAACCCCCTAAGATTTTCCTGGACCATGTTCCTTCCACCCAGGGTGATGGACGCCTGCACTCAAAAGATGCAGGTCTGCTTATGGGGAAGGCATACTTTTTACATAATTACACACAGTGGCTTAGCTCTTCCTCATCTATTCTATCTCATTCATTCTTGCAACCTATAATTATTGAGCCTCTACTATGTCCTAGGCACAGTGCCAGGCAACAGAGATAGTAATATACAAAATGGACTTGTTCCCTGCCCACTTGGAGCTTAATTCTAAATTAGATCTTGATTTTGCAAAGTCAGATGCACTTTGAATTTTCTCAAAACATGAGAACCTTAAATTTTGAATCTACTCGCAATTCTAGCAACCCAACAAATGCTGAAGCTTTCAAAGTTATTCAACATTTCACAGATTTCAAGATCGATAGCTTCTTATATTTTTTTCTTTGTGAAGACTTTCTCTATATTTATTGACATGAAAAGATGTCTACACTGTATTTATTCTTTTGAACATTTTGTTGTGAAATATTACATACAGAAAAGTACACATAAAAATATACAGCTCATTGATTTATTACAAATCACATACCCATGTGACTACCACCCAGATGAAGAAAAGGAATTCTACTGGCACCTCTAAGCCTACTTTATGCCTCCTGTATTTATTACCACCTTCCCCAAGAGTGACCACTATCCTGCCATTAAAGTAATTTCCTTGCCTTTTAAAAATAGTTTACCACAGGGGTGTCCAACCCCCGGACTGTGGACCAGTACTGGTCTGTGGCCTGTTAGGAACTGAGCCAAAAAGCAGGAAGTGAGTAGCTGGCAAGTGGACAGCGACATTAGATTCTCATAGGAGAGTGAACTCTATTGTGAACTGTGCATGCGAGGGGTCTAGGCTGTACGTCCCTCATGAGAATCTAATGATCTCCCCTCTGCACCACCCTCTACCTCACAACCTGTGGAAAAATTGTCTTCCACAAAACTGGTCCCCGAGGCCAAAAATATTGCATACTGCTAGTTTACCACCCAAGCGTTTATTCTTAAAAACTTTAATTTCCTTTTGCTTATATTTTCAATGTATATGTGAACAGAATCACACAGTGTGTATTCTTTTGTGTCAAGCCTCCTTTGCTTAGTGTTATATTTATGAAATGTGTTCATTTTGTTGTGTTTCACTATCAGTCATTCATTCATTTTCATTGCTGCCTTGTATAAGTATACCAAAATGTATTTATTATTTTTCTAACAATGGAGACTTGGGTTGATTTCAGTTTGGGGCTATTATAAATAATGCTGTATGAACATCCTTGCATGGGTCTTTTTGGCACACATATGCATGGTTTCTGTTAGGTATCCACCTAGGCATAGAATTGCTTGGTCACAGCATGTGAAGATAGTCAGCTTTAGTAGATGTTGTCAAATTTCCATCACTATAGGCTAGTTTTGCTTGTTTTTGAACTTCTCATGAAATGTATTATACAGTCATACTAGTATATATCTGGCTTCTTGTGCTTCATACCTTTAGATTTCTCCAGGTTGTTGCATATATCAGAGGTTTGACTTTTTTTGCTTATGACTGTTGTCTCTTGTGTTAGGGTGGCCCCCCAAAAACTGGAATTTATTTATTAAAAAACTGCATATTTCTTCTTACATGTTTAAACTTCAGTCATCTTCAAAGTACTCTCCATTTGATGCAATATACCTATTGAGACATTTTTCCCACTGCTCAAAGCAGTTTTTGAATTTATCGATTTCGATGCCTTTTAGTGCTTCTGCTGTTTTTTGTTTCACCTCTTCCACATGGATGAAATGTTTCTCTTTGAGGATTTTTTTCTTTTGGGGAAACAAAAAAAGGACACTTGGGATGCGAGTGGGTGAATAGGGAGGATAGGGCATGGGGGTCTGCCATTTGGGGTCAAAAACTATTGAACACTCAGTGAGGTGAGCAGATGTGCTCATAAGTCATTCATCATGAAATGGGCAAACATGTTGAAAAGTTACCCCAAAAAAGATTCACTAAAGCTGAACGCAGCCTCTCACAACAATGCTGGCTGGTACACTGATGCCAACGGGTTCTCAGAATGCATACCTATTTTGGGGACCTGTCCTCCAAAAGATAATTCTGGTTTTGGGGGTCCCACCTCAAATAATATGCAGTATACCAATCATATGCCAACGTATTTATCCATTCTCCTGTTGGTGGATATCCGGGTTGTTTTTAGGCTTTGCAAAATGAGTGAAGTTACTATGAATCCTCTTGCTCGCGTCTTCTGGTGGACATAAGCATTCAGCTCCCTCAGTCTACATCCAGGAGCAGAATTGCTGGGTCACACACACTTACCTTAACTGGATACAAGAAGCAGTTTTCCAAAGTGGTTGAACAAATTGTCACGCCTACCAACAACTTCTAAGAATCAGTGGATCCACATTCTCACTGAAACTGGCTACTATGAGTCTTTTTAAATTTTAGTCCCTCTGTTGGTTGTATAATAGTATTTCAGTTTAGTTTTAATTTGCATTTCCTGTATGAACCATGGTGTTGAACTACTTTTCATACGCTTATTGCAAATTGGATAACCCTTTTGTGAAATACTTGTTCAAATATTTTACTTATTTTATTAATTAATCTGTTTACTATTAAGTTTATTTATATTCCATATATGAATTGTTTGCAAATATGTGTATTGCAAATATCTTTTGTCAGTCTGTGGCTTGTCTGTATGCTTTCTTAAATATGTATTGATGAACAGAAGCCTGTAATTTGTATTAGGTTCAATTTATTGTTTTTTGATTAATGCTTTTGTGTCCCCTTAAGAAATCTCCAACTATCTCAAGTTCATGAAAATATTCTCATATGTTTATTGTTTTATCTTATTTATTTAGATGTATGATACATTTTGAATGATGTAAAGAAAAGGCAGATTACTTTCGCACACAGATTTCTAATTGCTTCAGCACCATTTGTTGAAAAGACTATAATTTCCCCCCATTTTGATCAAAAAATGATCATACATGTATTGGTCTACTTCTGAACTTACTATTCTGTTCCATTGATCTCTTTGTCCATGTTATCACCAGTACCACTGTCTGAAGTCTTGAGATCCAGACATCAGAGTACTCCAAATTATTGTTGTGTTATGTTGTTTTTGTTGTTGTTTTAAAGACAGGGTCTTTATCACCCAAGCTGGAGTGCAGTGGCATGACCTCCTGGGCTCAAGCAAGCCTTGCTTCTCAGCCTCCTGAGTAGCTGGGACTACAGGTGCATGCCATCACACCTAGCTAATTTTTTTAACATTTTTTGTGGAGATGGGTCTTATTATGTCACACAGGCTAGTCTCAAACTCCTGGCCTCACGTGATCTTCCCACCTCAGCTTTCAAAAGTGCTGGGATTGCAGGTGTGAGCTACCACACTCAGTACATCTTGACTCTTCTAAGTATATGCACTTATTTATATGTATTTCCATATAAATTTTTTAATCAGCTTGTCAATTTTTATACACTCCCCCCAAACACATTGATATTTGTACTAAGAATATATTTGGTATTAGATTAATTTGAAGGATAATTGCTATCTTAACATTATTGAGTCTTTTCAAACATGAACATAGAATATTTATATGGTTCATTAATTTCTCTCAGCAAAGTTTTGTAGTTTTCACAGATTTTATTTCCTTTCATATATTTTATTAAATCTGTTCTTAGGTATTTGATATTTTTAGTTTTATTATAAATGATATTATTTTTACATTTTATTTCCTGTTTGTCAATATAGCTACAATTTTTTAATATGTTGACCTTGTATCCAGCAACCTTACTAAGTTTGCTTAAGTCAGATAGTTTGTAGAATTTTTAAGATATTCTTTGTATAATCATACCTGTCTGCTAATGTGAAAAGTTTTACTTCTTTTCCAATCTTTTGTCATGTAGTTATTTTTCTTGCATTTTGCATTGAAAATAGGAGAGAGATGATATGTCTATGTCCCTAGCATCAGAAAAAGTCAATATTTCACAGGGAGTGTGATGTTTTAAAGATGATTCATTCTGTGCCTAGTTTGTTGGCATATTAGGAATGAGTTTTTAATTTTGTCACATGCTTTTTCTACATCTACTGAGATACCCATACAGTTTTTCTCCTTTATTTAGTTAATCTGGTGAATTATAGTCACTAATTTTGGAATTTTTTTTTTTTTTTCAGTTAGAGTAACACTCTGTTGCCCAGTGCAGTGGCATGCTCACGGCCACCCCAGCGTCGACCTGCTGGGCTCTGGCAACCCTTCTGCCTCAGCCTTCCAAGTAGCCAGAACTACAGGTGCAAGCTACCATGCCCAGCTAATTTTTTATTTATTGTAGAGACAAGGTCTTGTCAAATTGCCCAGGCTGATCTTGAACCCATGGGCTCAGACAATCCATTTGCCTTGTCCTCCCAAAGTGCCGGGATTACATACAGGCTGAACCACTGAGCCTGGCCGATTTTGGAATATTAAACCAATTTTATATGCAGAAAATAAATCCTACTTGATCATTATGTATAGTCATCTTTATATATTGCTGAATTTTTTTGCAAATGCACTCTTTATGATTTTTGCATCTATTCTCAAAAAATATATCAGCCTGTAATTCTCCTTTATTGTAATATCCTTGGTCAGTTTTTCTAACAAATTTACCTTAGCCCTAATTAATGAGTTGGGGATTGTTCCCTATTCAACATTTCAGAAGAGTTTGTTTATAATGGGCATTTATTTATCTCTTAAATATTTGCTAGAATTTGTCAGTAAAGCCTTGTGAGCCAGGAATGTTTTAATGTAGGTATTCAATTTATTTGAGAATTTTCAGATTTTCTATGTTGTGTCCTTTTTCATTAAATTGTGTTTGTCTAGCAACCTGTCCATTTTAACTAAAAAAGTTATTGATACAAACCTTTTGATAATATCTTCTTATGATCTCTTATACTGTTTGTACCTCCTGTCGTGATACTTCTTTTTCAATTCTAATATTGGTTACTGGTACCTTTTGTTCTCTTGATTAATCCCTTTAGGGGTTTATCAATGCTATGTCTTTTCAAAGACATAACATTGACTAGACTTTATGGACATGTAACTTGACTTTATTGACTCTCTGTTGCGAGGTTGTTTTTTCTTTTTTATTCATATCTAGTCTTACCTTTATTATTTCTATCCTTTTGCTTCTTTGGATTTAATTTGCTGTTCTTTTACTAATGTCTTGAGATGGCTGCTCAGATAATCAATTTTTTCTCTTTTCCAATATGTAAAACTAAAGCTATACATTTATCTCTACAGCTCTGACTGTATCTCACTACCTTTTTTGTGTAGTATGTCCATTGTCATTTATTTTTTATATAAATTTCTTGTCCTTTTTTAATGGATGGAGGAACTTTTCTGTTTCTATATATTTATTAAAATGTTTACAAATATTATTTTATTAGGCACTTCTTCATATTTGATTACTTCCCAATTTATTTGCCCCCTTCCTTTCTCCCTTTTCTGGCTTCCCTCCCTCCCTTTCTTTCCTATCTGCTGGTTCTGGTCTCTGTCTTTCACACTGGAGAATTTCCTCCAACGTCTGGTGATCCTTGACATTCTCTTCATAGTTAGGAGTGAGGCTAAGAAAACCCATGTACGTGAGAGAGGGTCCTGGCCACTGGGTGGCAACTGAATGATCCTGAAATGTCCATTTCTTCCTGGGACCACTCACTTTCTCAGAGTCGGACCCTTCACACTGCTGCACAGGAAGATGATTCCGGCTGCTCCATTGCTGACCATTTGAGAAGTAAAGGTCTCACTGTCCACATGCAGACTATTCTTCAACCCCTTATTTCCATTCTGGCTCCTTGTCCTATCCGCTGTTTCTCCTGGCACCCCTAAACCCAGAGCGCCTTGTTTTAGCTGTTCTGTAGGGTAAGCTCCTGCTTCCTGGAAGTGGGAGAATGTAACACTCGTACAAGGAGAAGTAATGGGCACCTGGCTATCCAGTGGCTCCTGATACAGAACTTCAAGCCACCCTTCTGTGCTTGCCCTCAGCTCAGTCCAACTTTTCAGTGCCCGGTGCCTCCCATCCCTGTATCCTTTCTAAATTCCTGCCTAGAGGTAGATTGGCCTCTGCTATCCCACCTCCTTCCTTTACTCTGGAGTCAATGACCATCCTCTATCGTTCGTTCACCTGCACATGGTGTGGAGCAGGTTTATGCATGTCTCTGGGTTTCATGGAAGGTTTGTTTCTTCTTTGCCTTGTCATTTCGGGAAGATCTCCAAGAGAAGAGGCAGAACTACCTTTGAGTCACCATCATAAGCATTTTTTCCCCAAATAATTCATAGTCTCCCCCTTCACACACCTAGTTATGTATCCCCAAGACCACTCTACTAACGTGCTCAGCTTCTCCTTCTAACAGTGGCCACTGTGGCTCCACCGCTCCCCTTGGTGCAGCTACCACTTAGACCATGGAATCCTTTGTGGACAAATAAGTCCTTGTGTCAGTCCTCCCTTATCCCCTTCTCTTCCCTCCTTTTCCTTCACTTCTGAAAACTCCCTGTCAGTGGGCCATTTCATGATACTGACACATCCATCCATATCTTGCTTCAGCTGCTGTGTAAGGTGTAATTGGACCTCCATGTTGGGAGTTGATGCCATTCCCGTCCTCCTCTTCCTCTAAACTCTTTCCTTCTTCTGTCTTCCAGCTTCAGACATTCACATATTCACTTTTGTATGGCCAAGAACCTCTTAGGCAAGGCTTGAAGTCAAAATAGCAGAGAATCCTTTCCTCTGGTCTTCTTACTCTGCCCCCAGCAGATTCTATAAGGGGACAGTCTTCCTCAGTATGTGGCCTCTAATGTGGGAGGGAGGGTCCAGCCCTCTTATGAGGCAAGGGCACTGGAGATCTTTCTCCCTCTTCCAGAGCAAGCCCTAAGGCTGCAGCTCTCCCTGTTTCTCATGGCTGGGGACCCTGTATGCCGTTCTCTGAGGACCCTGCAGCCCCTGATGAATCGTAGCAGGCCAACTTGACTTCAGCGGCCTCAAAGAGCAGGTCCCAGGATGAGACCTGCCAGCCGGCCCCTGACTCACTGCTTCCCACTTTCTTTCCAGATCCCCTTCTTGGGAGCTGGAATTAAGATCCACGAGAAAAGGGTGTCGGAAAACCTGCGGCCCTTCCACGACCGGATGGAAGAGTGTTTCAAGAACCTGAAAGTGAAAGTGGAGAAGGAGTATGGCGTCAGAGAGATGGTACCGGTGATCCCTGTGGCTGGGAAGGGAGAGATGGGGTGGGGATGGGGAACCAGGGAAGGACAATAGGGAGCAAAGTTGAAAGGGACCCAGCAGAGAAACCTGCCTCCAAAGGGCAGGGACTGGTGGCCAATGTGGCTGGAGCCCATGTAGGAAAACCTTCCTGAAAACTTGGTTCCAAAAAGCCACCCCTAAGTAAACTCCAGTTTCAGCTGGGACTGTGCAAACACCAGTCACTATATGGTGTGACTATATAAAAGAAAACATTGACAAAGCACCTACTAGGTGCTAGGCCTGATCTAAGCACTTGACATCTACTAGGTTATTTAATCCTCACAGGAAGCCTGGGAGATAGGAAAGATTTTTAACCCTCTGTATCTCTTCTGAGATTTCGAGGATTAAGTAACTTACCTGAGGCTACACAACAAATGGGTATGGGACAGAATCTATAGCTGGCTATGTTGGCACAAGGCCAGCGCTTTGGTCACTGAGTTCCTTGGCCTAAATAGGCCTTCGGCCTGGTGTTCACAGGGACATCTTTTTATCCTCCTCCTTATAAGGTAGAATTATAAAATGTCAATGCTGTACAGGCCTTTATAAACCATCTGGTCCTGCCTTTCCATTTTACAGAGGGAAAACTGAGACCCAGAGAGAGGAAACGAGTCACTGGAAAAGCCTAGGGGTGAACTCAGGTCTCTTTTGATTCAAGAGTTGGTTTTGTTTTACTCGTGAGACAGGTTGTCACTTTCAGTACTTCCTGCTTGAAGCTCCTGCAGTGCAGTTCTGATGCTAATTACCTGGAGTTAGGTCACATTTCACAGGTTAAGAGCACACTGTTAGACTCCTTCCACTTCAGATGCCAGCCATACACTCCAGGGTCCCCAGGCCACCCACACTTCTGCCCAACTAGTAACAAATAGGGGGGCTCCCACTGCCCCACCAGGTTTGGCAATTAGCTAGAATGACCTACAGAACTCCAGAAAGCACTGTACTTATGATCTCCATTTATGATACATATCAAGTGATAAAGAGATATATAGGGTGAGGTCTGGGAGGGTCCCAAATAGGAAACTTCCATGTCTTCAGGATGCTCCCCTCCCTTTCTGGCACCTTCATGTATAGTTACCAACCAGGGATGTTCACCTGAACTTGAGTGTCCAGAGTTTTTATTGGGGTTTCATTATGTAGTCATGATAGATTTTTAATCACTGGCCACATGACTGAAGTCAATCTCCAGCCCCACCCCCTCCCTGGAGGCTGAGCTGATATTACATATCACAGGGCTGGCCTTTCTGGCCATCCAAATCCATCTCACTAGTCAGGTACAGTCCAGGGGGCCACCAAGAATAACAAGGCCACTACTATCACATGGGAAAACACTCCAAGGATTTAGAGATGACCTTCCATGAGTCAGGAAAAACGGTCAGCCACATTTTTTATTCTTCAAGAACCTCCCAACCTCAGCCAGCCAGGAGGCTTTTGTGCTGATGGCCCACCCAGTCCCACAATTCCATTCTGCCCCCATGGAGGAGGAAGGCAGCAGGAAGGCTGAGGCTGCATTGTCCAGGCTACAGCTACTAACCCTCTTCTCCCACTCCCAGCCCGACTTCGACGACAGAAGGGTGGGCCGCCCCCGGTCCATGCTGCGCTCCTATCGGCAGATGTCCATCATCTCTCTGGCTTCTATGAATTCTGACTGCAGCACCCCCAGCAAGACCACCTCTGAGAGGTCAGTCCCTGCCTCCCAGGGAGGCAACCCCTGCACCCCACCTCCCTGTTCCAGCCCCCAGGAAATCCCCCTCTTCTCTTTCTTCCCCTGCAGCCTCCCTTCTACTTCCCCTTTCAGTTTCAAAGTCCTTCCCCATCTCGAGCCTCATAAACCCTCATGGCTATATCCCAGGAGGCTTCATGGTTAGTGCCATTTTTAGCTGGTCATCGCAGGCTCAGAGAGGCAAGACAGCTTTACTTGGGGACCCAACAGGACTCACCTGCAGCCCCTAGAATCCTATTCCCAGTGACCTCTGTTGGCCATCCGGAGCTCCTCTCCAAACCTGCCTCCTTCTGGAATGTTCTTACCTCTGACAGGGGTTCATTCTCCCTCCTCCCAACCAGGCGGGATATCTCCATCACAGAACTTCTCCCCCAACACCACTCACCTATGCCTCTGTCAGTGTCCCCCTTCCTTGCCCTTTCTACCTTCCTGGAGCCTCGGGCTCTACTCTGCCCAGCCCAGCTGTTCATTAACAGACACCACAAGTGACCCGGTGCCCACGATGTGCCATGAGTGTGCTAAGGGTTCCTCAGACCTCATCTCACGGCCTCTCTGTGGAGTTGCCGCAAAGATCCCCTCTTTATTGAGAAGGAAATGATGGCAGGAGCAAGTTGAGCAATTTATCCGGAGTCATTCGGCTAAGAAGTGGCAGTGCCTGGATTTGAATCTGCAGCCATATTTTTAACCTGTTTTCTCTCCTCACCACCAGTTTCTTTTTTTACATCACGTGCTTGTATTTCATTTTATCATGAATAAAATAAAGTGAACTTTATTCATCTCATCTGAGTGTTTGCAGATTGAACGGATGGCTCTGAGTCCTTTGCCAGGTTAGCTGATCTCCCCCTGACCCCGTAGTGACAGCTCAGGCGCCTGTGGCCCCCTGGATCCCTGCAAGGCAGTTCCACTGAAGATCTAATGGCAGTTTCTACTGCTATCCTTCTTGCCCCTCAGCTTCGACCTGGAATTGGCAGCACCCAAGACTCCGAAAGCGGAGCAGGAGGAGCCCATCTCCCCCGGGAGCACTCTGCCCGAGGTCAAGCTGCGGAGATCCAGGAAGAGGACAAAAAGGAGCAGTGTGGTATTTGCAGACGAGAAGGCCACAGCTGAATCGGACCTGAAGCGGGTGAGCCATTGAGGTTGCGTGCCGAACCCAATGACCAAGGCTCAAGGCCTGGGCTCACTAGAGCCTCGCTTCTGAGGTGTGGGGGTGTTGCAGAGATGGCACCTGACAAAGTAGGGAGGGGACGTGTGTGCTTGTGCCCAGAATTCAAACCCAGGCCATCACACTCCACCGCCTGCGTGGTCCTTCCCACCCTCACACAGGGCTTTGCTGGGCAGAGGACAAGCCACCTGCTCTCCCACAGAAGGGGACGGCAGACTGCCTGGTGTAGAGCCTAGGGTCCCCCAGCCTGCAGCCTTCTGTCTCCAGCCTAGGGCCATTCAGGCCACTGGCCTCATAGACTCCCAAGCTCCTCCTGGTGCCAGGAGTCCAGGTATGATGCAGGGGTGAAATCTCACTGCCCAGCCTTGAGAGTTTGGGTCTTGTAGACGAATTGCTGTTTAGTAATGAGACTTGGTATTGGCAGACCTGGGTTCAGTCTCAGCTTCCCCTGGAAAAGAGGTTTGTTGAAATTGTTCTAGCATCCTAGGTCGGGGAGAGGGAGGAGGGCCAGCTGAGATGCCTTCTGGTGAAGAAAGGACCCTCCACAAAGGACCTTCCCAGTGGGCCTCAGAGGCTACTCGTGCCTGGGGTGGGGGAAGGATGGAAAGTCATCTGTGTTTCAGAATTCTAGGGGCACCATGCACATGATAGTCTGAATGAATGCCCCACATGCACCTGGAGTTGTGTAGTGTAGAACCTGTGCAACCATACATGGCAGGCTGGTGTGGAATGGGATAAAACTGAATAAATAAACTTGGAGCCAAGTTAGTGGAACCTATACCAAACCCTCGTCTCTGACCTTTTGGGGCCCAGATCTGCCTCATGTTAAGCCTGTATGTGTGTGTGTATTCATCCAGCTTTCCAGGAAGCACGAGTTCATGAGTGACACCAACCTCTCGGAGCACGTGGCCATCCCCCGCAGGTCATCTATCCTCTCCCAAATGAGTTTTGCCAGCCAGTCCATGCCCACCATCCCAGGTATGCACCCTGCCACCCCCAGCATGGGGGAACAGAAGTAGGGCGGGCCACCAGCCTGGTGGGTAAATGGAGACCATGTCTATACAGCAAAGAGGGCCAGGCATCCAGGGGGTGAGAGGCTCTGCTCATACACCCCCACTGCCCGATCTCTTCCCATACCCACCCCTTCCTGTGGGTGAAGCCACTCCAACATCACCTGGAATCAGGGGAGGTCTACTTTTCTCTGGCTCTCAGGATTCACTGGGCATCCGTGTGTCACACCAGGTAGCCTATATTCTCAGTTACTCCAGCCAGCCCAAGGGTCAGAAGTCTGCTCTTGGTGCATCCCTGAGACCTGTGGCTCCTTTTTGGACCAGGAAGACTATTTCTGGATTTCCAAAACTGGCCACCCCATGTGACAGCTGCAGAGTGTTTGATGCATAGTCGCCACCTGTATCCACCCTGTGTCACCCACTCACTGTCCAGGGAAGAGGTTAGCAGCACACAGCTGGCTTTTCCTAAGTCATGTAGGGGAGCCTTAGGCACTCACAGAGGCCACCACACACCTGAGACCATGCCTTCTGGCACACAGTGCATCCTTAGCACCTGCTGCTCCATGCACAGGCTCTCTGTGCCCAGGCCCAGATTCGAAGGGAGCCGGGCAGGGCCAGGGCTGCCCCTGCGGGTCCTGTGGGTAGATCACAGTGATGACACCTACTGTTTACTGAGTGCCAATGGGGCCAGGCCCTGTGTCAATGGCTATATCTTCATTGATTTATTTTTCTTTTCTTTTCTTTTTTTGTTATTTGGGATCTCACTCTGTGGCCTGGGCTGGAGTACAGTGGCACAATCACCGTTCACTGCAGCCTCAACGTCCTGGGCTTAGATCATCCCACCACCTCAGCCTCCTGAGTAGCTGAGACTACCGGTGCACGTCACCACACCCTACTAATCATTTGATTTTTTTGTAGAGACAAGGTCTTGCTCTATTGCCCAGGCTAGTCTCAAACTCATGTGCTCAAGCAATCCTCTTGCCTTGGTTTCCCAAAGTACTGAGATAATAGGCATGAGCCACTGCGCCAGTCTCATTAATTTCTTTACACCACTACACATGCCTAGGAAGGCGATGATGTCATTTGCCCCCTTGGAGGGATGAGGAAACTGAAGTACTGAGAATGTCAGTCTGTTGCCCATCCCTGGGTAGTAAGAGGCAGAGGCTGAATTCAGACCTAGACCCTCTGCCCTGGAACCATGCCCCTCCTGCTGCCCAGCTGTACCACACAGGCAGGATGATCCACACACAGCTGCGGCCTTTGAGCAAGCACCAGCCAGTTTGATTGCATGTCCTCTACAGATCTCACAATGCCCTGGTTGTCTGGGCTTTTACTTCCATGTGACCAGGGTCAAAAACAGCAGCCAGAGAGGTAGCTGGTTCGTCAGGTCTCTGTGACTACAAGCTGGGGCTGTAACCACTAGGCACACTGTCCCTCCACCAGGTGACACCTGGGTCAGAAACACTCTCCCCCCTTCCCTCTGCCTTGGGTAAAGATGAGAGACCCAGTGGTTTGGTGTTGGGAGGTGGAGGAAGAGGAAGCCCATGCTGTCTCCTTCCCTTGGGGCTGAAGACTCGACATTTCCTGGGGAATTCAGTGCCCTTGGACAAGGCTTGGACCAGGGGTCAGGAGGCTGGACTCCTGTGTGTAGGGCTGGCAAGCTCTGCTCACAGAGGATACCTTTGATACCCTGCCAGCATGGCAAGGTAAAAGTAGGCCTCCTGTCTCCTCCTGCCTGGCATACACGATGTGTGATCCCAGGGTGCAGGCTCTTCCCAGCTGCTCCTGCCTATCTCCCAAGGCACCACCACCCCTTCAACCACCCTCACACCCACTTGGCTCTCCTTCCAGCCCTCATCCTCTCACCAGCCGGCGTGCCAGGGTTGGACGAGGCCAACATCTCCCCCCGCCTCAGCCAGACCTTCCTCCACCTCTCAGACGGTGACAAGAAGACGCTCAAACGGAAGAAAGTCAATCAGTTCTTCAAGACGATGGTGAGGACCGGATGGGTGGAAGGGAGGGAGGATGATGGGAGGAGGAAGGAAGAGAACCTGGCAAAGAGAGAAGAAAATGCATGTGAGTGTGCAAATGTGTGCATGTGTGTGTCTACATGTGCATGTGTGGGTATAACAGGAAGTCAAGGTCACAGGAATGTGAAGTCTGGGACACTGTATAGCCATGCCCAGAGTTTAGTTCTCCTCTGGGAGCCCTGGTGGCTCCTCTGTCCAGAGCTGATGCAGCTAGGGCAATGCAGGCCTGGGACCTCAGAACTAGTAGGTATCTAGCCCTTGCCCAAAGTGCCCCTTGGTGTTCCTATCTGAACTACAACAGCCCTCGCCCAACGTGCCCCTGGTGCTCCTACCCAAGGCACAAGAGCTGGCTGTCTTTGGAAGCTGAAAGTGTTTTATTTTTAGAAGCACTTTGCTATCAACTTAAGTTGCAAAATCCTACAAATTACCAATGAGTTTCCAATCCCTGACTCTTAAGTCCCACCTCCAATTTTTATTTGCTGGTCTTTGCACAAGATCAAGAAGGTACCAGAACCCGAAAGGAAATGAAACCGGCACTGTGCCACCATCAACATCTCCAGTCTGCCGAGGGCACACAGTGAGCCAGGCCCCTGGTGGGTCCTTCCCAAATGTCATCCATCATCTCCCACTGTCCCAGTGAGGATTTTATTGCTCAGTTAGGCAGGTGACATGCACAAGGCCATTCAGCTAATGAGGAACCCGTGAAACAGCAAACCCTATGCTTGCTCTGACTAGTCCTCACACTGCCCCTCTGGCCAGAGCCAAGGTTATGGCAGCTTACGCTAACTGGGCTTTGAGCGGGGGTCAGGCCCTTGGGATTGGGACTGGGAAGCCCCACTTTGGTGCTTATAATGACCCCATCATGAATGGGTTTGTTTATTCTCGTCTCTCAAAAGCTGGCCAGCAAGTCGGCTGAAGAAGGCAAGCAGATCCCGGACTCGCTGTCCACAGACCTATGAGATGCTGCTGCCCAGGGCTGCCCAGGGGAGCCAGAAGGAGTTACCAGAAGAGGAGAGCCAAGGGCAAGACATCAAAGACGGTCCCCATCAGTTGTCCTCACTTAGAGGAGACAGAGGGGTCAATCGAGCCCTAGACCTTGAGCGGTAACAAGCCAAGCATCTTCTGGGCGGTGACTGGGTAGTGGGTAAGGAAGCCCCGCTTGGGTCTCGGACCCAAGGGACCAGCAAGAATGCCTTCTCCCAGTGTGCACTCTGGAGACAGCTCTTTATAGCCCAGTTTCTTAGGGATAAGAAGCTGTGCTTTTATTTCATTTATTAAGTTCCAGAACTTAACAGAAGAGAAAAGCCTTTTAAATATTCTTTTTTATTTTATTTTAACAGTTTTGTACTTTACATTTTTTAATACAACCAACCAGTCTCTTTTCTAGCTGATCATCTCTGAAGCATTGCTGTTTCTTACTGACAATAAAAATGGTTGCTTGGCTCAAGTAAGCCTTGTTGCCTAATTTTGTTGGTCGGATCTGTTAGGCCCAGGACTGGGCGGGAAGCCCCATGGAGGAAAGACAGGCTCGGAGCTGCAGTGATGTGATGTTAGGAGGCCTGGCACTGTCTTTGCCTGATGCCAAATCGCCCTACCTTGTCTCTGAGAAGATTCTTCAATAATCTTCTCCAAGACTCTGATTGCTTAGGGGTCAAAATCCTGGACTACCAGGATGCTGGAAAAGTTGACCTGAACTCTTCCTCATGTTTTCTGAACAATGGAGAGTGTCGTACCATCTTTTTCCACTTCTGGAAATAGTTGGCAAACCCGCTCAAGCCTGGTCACTCTAACAATGACCCCAACCAAATTCTAAAGAACTAGGAAAGGGAGGAGATCTCAGGTTGGCACATTTATGGCCCAGCCTTTGGATCTTGTCAACAGGTCAGAAGTGGTCACTTTTCTTGGAAAAAATCCCTAGGTTTTTCTGGTGAGACCTGTATTAGTCTGTTTTGTGTTGCTATTAAGAAATGCCTGCAGCTGGGTAATTTATTTATAAAAGAAAGAATTTTATTTTAGCTCAGAGTTCTGCATAGCACCTGTATCTGCTGGGCTTCAGGTAAGGCCTCAGAAGCTGGAAGAGAGAGAGGGACAGGGAGAAGGGGGAGGGGGAGAGAGACGGAGAGAGAGAGGAAGGAGATTCCAGGCTCTTTTAAACAATCAGTTCTCATGGGAACTAGCAGAGAGAGAGAACTCACTCATTGGCATGAAGTCATCCATGAGGGATTCCCCCATGATCAAATCACCTCCCACCAGGTCCCACCTCCAGTATCAGGGATCACATTTCAACATGAGATGTGGAGAGGACAACCCTCCAACCTACATCAAGGCCCAAGGGGTATGAAAGCCACTGTTGGGTAGCAGAAGGACAGGTGGGAGCAGAATCATGCCCACAGCCTTCAGGGAGCAGAGCCATGCAGGGATGTTCTCAGCCAGAGGCTGAGCACTCCATCCACTGGGAAAGAAATTGATCCTGGGTCAGTGTTAAGGGCATGACAACAGGGGGTTTCAGAACCAGAGCCCTCTGGGGACCTGGGCGTGGATGCTCACTTCTCAGGCTGAGCCCCTGGGGGCCATAAGGAAGATGATGGTAATAGCTCCAATTGATCAAGCCCTGACTGTCCCTGACACAGTGTTATAGACAGGACAAGGATGAAATTCCTATCTTGATAGCAGCCCTAGGAGGTGGGTACAGTGATCATTACCCAGATGAAGAAACTGAGGCACAGAGGAAAGAAGTCATCTAAGATTGTACACTTGGTAAGTGGGACAGCTAGGATTCAAACCCAGGCAAGGTGAGAAGCTCTTAGCTGCCACCCCTTTGCACCAGAGATCTTAGTGCACCAGATAACCCTTTGTCCACCCCCGTCTCTCCCTGCTGGTCTCTATGTTCCCTCTTCAAGCCCTGTTTCAATAGCTGTTATCTGGTCCAGCTTCCAATTTCTCAACTGTCCAAAAAGTTTTCTTGTGGTGGTGGTTTGGGTTTTGGCTGCACCAGATTCCATTGGGTTCCCCCAAGGCAGCACCTGGAGGATTAGACTCGGGCTGAGTCACCTCCCAAAGACACAGGGATGTGCACATGGGCAGAGGAGTCCCTGGGTTTCCTTAGGGCTTCATGTAGACACCAAGTGCTGGGTGCCTTCTGTCCCATCTGCCGTCTCTCCCCTTTTCCTCTCCATGTTAGAAGTTTGAAATCCTCAGGCTGGTTTCTTCTCTCAGTACAAAACAATGAAATGCCAACCTTTAGCCTTGAAATGGAAGCCCTTCCAACTCCCAGTGAGAGCAACAAGAGAAAGGAAATGGTTCCTCCTTTTCCCACTACAGAAAAATACAGGAAAATAGCTTCAATCCTATGCCTTGAAACCACTGGTGTTATTTCTCACCAAGGAATCTTGGAAAACACCCAGGTTTAGAGATGTCTACCGCATCCTGGAAAGTGAGCTTTAACCTCTAGAAATTCTGTAACGTTGATGGATCCCCTCACTTAACAATGTGCAGCCCTGGAAGTGATACCTCTCTGAGTTCCATTTTCTGAACATTAACCATATCCATGAGTTTTCTTATGAAGTCTGAAGGGGACCATTGGCACTTCCCTCTCTTTTCTCATAAAGCCCTTGGATTCCTTTTTCAGTAGACTCTGGGAGTTAAATCTTGCTTCATTTAGGACTGTCATTAGGCTGATGGCTCATTGGGCCCTTTGCCAGAAGAATCCCATATATGCCCATTACATGGCAGGAACAGCCATGCCGGAAGTAACAACAACAAACAATAATAATATAGCAGCCACCTCCCAGGCACTTGGTCTATACATCCTTTCCTGAAATCCTCACTTCAATTGTGCCTGCTCAGTACTAGGATCCCAGCCATGGTGTTGGGGAAGCCCAGGTTGGAGAGTTTGTGATGTGCCTTTGTCACCCAGCTGGGAAGGGGCATAGCCATCTCTGTCCACTCCAAGCCCTGTGTTCATAACCCACACATTCACCTTCTTTCTTGGGCCTTGGCTCAAAGTCAGACCCTATGACCACAGTCCATGCCTGTCTGTAAGTTTCTTCCACAATGCCAATGATGGCACCTGGGACAAAGGAAGGTGGAAGATGTCTGGCACAGTGCTCTTTGTGCCATGGATGTTCCTACTGTATGCCAGGTCTGTCCAACACAAGCTAGAAGTATCAAGGAAGTGTCTATGCCTTCAGGACTCCCTGAGGGAGGACTGGGAGGGATGGGAGGGAGGACCCCTTTACACATCTCCCTTTCTTAAGGCTGTTTTCTGGGACCCTGAGAGATCACTTCCTCTGACTCTCTCATTTTACAGTGGGTCACACAGCTGTGGTCAGCAGACCCTCATCTAGAATCCAGGTTGGCTGGCTCCAAGCCTAGTCTCCCTCCAGGTAATCTCCCCCCAGTGGAACCCCCTTCAACTTCTCTTTAGCCACTCAGCAATCCTTGCTCTTTGTCTCTGAGACAGAGCTGATATCTGCCATTCACACTTCAGTTTGATCTAGGGCACCAAGTTCCCCTTCCTTAGGGGAGGGGCATTTTAACCTTATCTCTAAGCATGGAGTAAAAGTCTTCCTTTTTTTCTTCTGGACTTGTGGGCTTATATCAATATGTAGGAGAGAAACGGGAAGAAACAAATAGTCTTTCCAGCACCTAACATCAGACTGGGCTCTGCCCTTCAGACATGCTAACATGTAACACATCTGTTTGCCACTCTTGGCTGAACCTTGGGTGCCCCTGTCTCCTTATCATAGCTCCAGTTCTCTAGGAAACAGGTCCCCAGGCAGTGATTGAATGCCATAGGCTTTTTAAGCTGTACAATCCTAGGGAAGAGAGACTGAGGGAAAGAGGACAGGAAGCAGTGGAAGTCGGTGTGTGAACTGTGCTGGCCTTTACTTCACAAGTCATGGAGAGACAGAGCTTGTAGGACAATGCTGATAGGGACATCTTGGGCCAAGGTATATGGTGAAATCTTGCCCCAGAAGGCTGTGGAGAGAGGATGGAGGGGGAATGCATTTGCCCAGCTGACCTCTTAGCCCAACCTCCTCTTTTTCATTGGCCAAAGTCCACCCTATTGCCTGCAGTAAGACCCAGAAAGGTTTTGCCTTTGAGCTGCATCCATGTACCCCTTTCAGTAGCTGCTTGGGAAGCTAGATCCCATACCCCACAATGCAGCATTCAGTCTGAGTGCAGAGCTTGTGAAAGGGACCAGCAACTCAGAGAATAAGCCCAGTTTTCTTGGCTCCACAACTGAAGAAAAGGGAACACCAAGCCTTCCTGGACAAGCAGCCAGTGGACCTCAAATGGTAGAACCATGTGGGCCCAAGCTGCAGTGGCTGCAGAGGCTACTGAGGCAGAGCAGGCAGCAGAAGGCCAGGAAAACCATGACACCCGAAGAAACTGAGAAGGCATAAGATGGTCTGATACCTTCAGATCCTTATGTGCCCTTCCATTATGTCCTGCCCTGTTCTAGCATGTGGAGCCTCCACTTTTGTGTGTGGAAATAAGGTCTTCTTTCTCCTTTCCCAAGATAGCATGTCCAAGTACAGTCAGTCATAGAGTCCATTTCAAGGTGGTGGCCAGGTAGGATCTTCCATGCAACATAAGGCAAGAAGATTCATGAAACAAGCTACGGTAGCTGCTGCTACTGGACCAAGACTGTACAGAACATTTAGCATCTCCTCCCACCCCCACCCATTTATGTTCCCCTGGTCTAGGTTGCCTGCCTGATGGGGTGACCCAGACCTCCCTCCCACAAAGGCTCTGAGCCCTTAGCTGTCCTGCCTGCCTTTGTTGTTGGTAGTTGCTGTAATTACCTATTGACTATTATTGGTGGTGTGAAAGTCCTAAGAAATGGTCCAGGAACCCTTGGTTCCAGACATGCTTCTCTGCCCTGTTGTATCATGACAACCTAAGCCCTCATGTAATCAGGATCAGTTACTCCAGAGTTTGCTGATTCATGAGCAGGTGATGCCGAAGCGTCCAAGTGCTAGTCACAGCTCCATTTCTGTGGGGACTTCATTGTGTCTAGTGCCGCCTCTTGCAGTATATCATGGGTTGATGTTGATATGTGTCCCCCCTGCCAAAGTCATATGTTGAAATCATAACCACTAATACCTCAAGATTTGAAGGTAGAATCTTTAAAGAAGTAATCCAATTAAAATGAAGTCACTAAGGGTGCGTGTTAATCCAAAATGGCTAGCGTCCTCATGAAAAGAGCAAATTTAGAGACAGATGTTCACATGGGAGAACATCATGTGAAGAAGGAGACAGATTGGAGTGACACCTCTACAAGTCAAGGAACACCCAATCGCGAGCAAACCACCAGAAGCTGGGGCGAGGCATGAGCAGATTCTGTCTCACAGCTCCTGGAAGAAACCAGTCCTGCCAACACCTTAATTTTAATTCTATTTTCCAGAAGTCTGTAGCTATAAATTCTTGTTGTTTAAAC